TCCTAGGTTCAAAATACCTAATTGTTTCAATACATGTCCAAAGTGCCCGACATTCTGGATGCCCTTTTATTGTAAGCCCACTCCGGGCAGGATACCTAATTTCCCAAGGCTATGAATGCCAGTAAATACCTTCTTACGTCCACACATCTTACGTATGTACCTGTGCGTAGGTCAGTAACCTTGCACAACATGACGTAATACCTCCATCCATGAAATCTAACCGGGATGGTCAAGAGTCGGTTAGGGAACTTGGCTGTAGTGGCTCCTTTCTCTGTGCTGATTGGTTGATCTGGCAAAATGTACAGGAGGATACTTTATCCTGAATGTGTTGGTTGAGTTCAGGCCACCACACACTCAACCCTGCACGTTCACGACAGTCAGTCCCTGGTGTCCATCATGAATCCTATCGAGAATGTCTGTTCTCATCACTTCCGGGATCCCAATCCTGTCTCTGTCCAGTAGAATGTTTCTGGATACTGACAGTTCACCTCTGACTGGATAGTACGCTCGTGTTGGTATTGGCACATCTATGTATGCCGCCGGCCAACCGTTCCTAGTCAGTGACATGACAAGCTGAAGAGTCTTGTCCTGTGTCGTGGCTTCCTGAATCTCTGTGAGTTTATGGTCCGACATAGGTTTTGTCTCGATGACGGACTCCGTGTAGGCTTCTACTTCCTCTACCAGGTTGTGGATTCCCGCTGCACTGGAACTTTCTGTGTAGTTTAGTGGTGCCCGTGAGAGCATGTCCGCTACCACCATGTTCTTCCCTGCTACATGTTCTGCCACCGGGTTGAATCTCATCAGACGCATAAGGAGACGAGTGCTGGTGCTCTATCCAGATCTGACTTGTTGATCAAGGGTACTAGCGGCTTACGGTCTGTCAGTAGTCGGAACGACTCCAGTCCATACAGGTATCTTGCAAACTTCTCGCAAGCCCATACACTCGCTAGCCATTCCTTCTCGATCTGAGAGTACCTGGTCTCAGCAGGAGTTAAGGTCCGTGAGCAGAATGCTACTGGCAACAACTGGTCGCCGTGCTGTTGTAGAAGTGTAGCTCCTAGGCCATAGCTGATTGCATCGGCACTCACAACTGTGGGTTTCTCCAGGTCGTAGAACTGTAGAACAGCTGGACTTGTCAGCATGTCTTTGACTCTCAAGAAAGCTGCATCTTGGGCAGGACCCCATGTCCATACTGCAGCAGATTTGAGTAGGTCACTCATTGGACGGAGAACTGATGAAAGGTCTGGACAAAATCATCCCAGATAGTTGATCATGCCCATAGCTCGCCTCAGTTCAGTGATATTTGTTGGAGCTGGTAGGTCTCTGATAACTTGAGTCTTCCATTTTCACTGATCACGTGACCAAAGTAGCAGATGGACGTTTTCCGGATTTCACACTTCTCCCGGTTCAACTTCAAACCTGAGCGTTTGACTCGTTCGAGAACACTGTTCAGTCTCTTGTCGTGCTCCTCGAGATCGATAGTTCGACCCCAGATCAAGACATCGACCATAATGGCTTCTGAGCCCTCCAACCCTTTGAGTACTTCGCACATCTTCCTCTGAAAGATCTCTGGAGCGGATGTAATTCCGAAGGGAACTCGTTTAAAGCAGAAACGACCGAAGGGAGTTATGAAGGTTGTTACCCAGCAAACATGACACAACTGGGCCAGTAACGGCTCCCTTCCTCACTTGTAACTTCAGTAACGGCATTAAGCATTAACCTAAATGGCCCATTATGCATTTTACAATACTGTCTTAACTGTATTGTTTTAATACTGGCCCAGTCGCAACATCACAGTTTGTTTAAAGGCATAGTGTAACGTTACTGGGCCAGTATGCTGCATACAGTATAGGACTAAGTTATTGGTCGGGTACTGGCACAGTACTTAATGAAATACGGTACGGGGCCATTAAAGGGCCACTACAGAGCCAGAACTTACATGGTGCATTGTGGGTAAATTGAATTACATTATCGGTTAAAATGTGCCTGCCATTTCATCGTCTGCTAGAGGTGAGGGGTTGATGTGTCAGCAAATCATTTGGCCAAATATGTAGGTATTCTTTGAAAACAACATATAAATCATATGTAACTTTAAGGCCAATATAAAGGGGCACGAGAAAATATCTATTACCAATTTGGGTCCATTCAGTTCTGCTCAAAACAAAACTGTTTTCCCTTCCACATTCAAAATCTGCTTGCAGTTCCATGACATTGACCACAATCTAACAACAGTAATGTCGTACCGATGAATTTAAATATTCTGTACTAAGATACATCAAATCATCTGGCATTTTATACTTGTGATAAATTTAGGAGTAGTAGATTATGGTCTAGTAGCAATACTACACCTCAAGCTTATACTACTAGATTATAAAGTGCAGTTGTACAATTGTTTGTAAGCATTCCTATACTGACAGGCTCAAATTGTTTTCAGTGCAATTTCACAAGTATTAATCAGACCTACTGAAAATCATTTAAAATAGACGTTACTGTTATCATGTGTTTATTTGATCCCATCTTGTATAAGTTATTTAGTCTTTTCACCTTATTCTAAAATGTTGTTACCCAGTTTTGCAAATAATTATCTTGACAGCCTTTTCAAAATGTTACCCTCCTAATACCCTGCAACATTACTTAGTGACCTAACCATCTGATATTTTCACAGGTTGATCGCCAAAAGCATATTGGCGGAAGCACCGTAAAGGAAACCGTCCAAAGAACCATGAAGTATGTCCTTGGACATACTATTGCTTCTCAATATAACTGGTTGAGACAAACAATGGCGGAAGAAGAAAGGACCAAGTAAGAAAGCATTTGCTCAACTTCAGCTGTGCGCTGCAATCACTAGTGAGTATAATAGCTCTGATATATAGTTCTATAGATTATGTAGATTTGAGAATTAAAGGAATATAATGTCAATGAAAGTTAGCACTTCAGCTGGAGTGCCTAGTCACTATAGTGAACCATATGTGAAATTAATGGTGGTCATTCCAATCAGATTTCAAATAAGGTCACTACGGCGGCCATATTAAAAATGCCAGTTTAACTCATTGATCATTTATTTCTGCAGTGATTAAGCAGAAATTGGGTATGTATAGGACGAGTCAAATACTCTGATCTCTGTCAGTGCTCTGGGTATGGCTGTGATGTTTCGTTTTGATTCAGATGAGCTAAAGTACAGTGACTTGAAACCTGCAGTAAGACCAAGTTTCCAGGGCAACCATTCTAACACTTGAAAGCTTTCCTAAATGATTAAGGCATTACATATTAGGTTTGACAGCTGTGCAGTTAAATAATTAGAACTCTATTTTTCTGCATAACGGTTTTGATGTTTATGAACATTCATATAATCTTCAACTATGCTTCAGGAGCTGTTCTCAAAACTCCCCTGCTTACAACAGCAACAGAAAAGGAGGCTCACAGTGAGATGATGGCTGATAAATTCGGGGGACAGGGACGGGGGCCGCAAGAAGCGGCTACGGGCTAAGGAGGCTGCGGCCACCACTCGCGATAACAACACATCCGAGTAACTACAATATATTGTATATGAACTCAGAAGATATAAAAGATGTTTTACTTTATCCCTGTTGTTTTCCTTTTAGTATGATCAGCAAATTGAATACAGAGGGGTGACGCTTCCAAGGGGTGACATTGGTGACAATTATTATAGATGGATCCTAGTGCTATGTCAATTGTTGAACTCGTGCCAGTTAAAATTTGGGAGTTTGCTGTTGTAACAGCCGAGATTCCTTTGCGGGAATAATCGACTTAGTTCGTGTACATTTGCACTGTTTATTTACATCATGATACATGCCCTGGGGGAGGCTCGTCGCCTCACTCACGGTGCCCACTTGGGGTGGCCATGGACTGGAGCAATGTAGATTCCTTGGTCGAGGCTGACATCCGAATCGAACTACGGACCCTTCGGTTGTGAAGCCAACGGACTACCTCTAGACCACAGGTCTAGTGTGGTTTCATACAAAAGGGTCCAGAATGTAAACGTGCTATGGTACCAGTACACATAATATCATACTGGGCCAGTACAAGACCAGTACACTGCCAGTACAACGCCAGTGTGTTGTTATTTGTATTGGGCCATTTCCACGCCAAAGTGCAAAACGTTACTGGTCCGGTACTGAGATCCGTTATCAAGCCTATATTGTGGTCCTTATAATACCAGTACGGGCTCAGTAGTGTCATGTTAGCTGGGTAAGAGACTGCTGTCTGGATCCAATGGAATTTGGTGAAATCCGCTTGATGCATCCAGTTTAGAGAAGAAACGTGCGCCGTTCAGTTTCGGAGTGACATCTTCAAACGTTGGGAGAATGTACCTTTCACGTTTGACAGCGACATTCAACTTCTTCAGGTCTACGCATATTCGTATCTTCTTGTTGCGTTTCACAACTGGTACCATCGGTGCGCACCACTCTGTGGGCTGTCACTTCCTCGATGATGCCGTCTTTCGCCATACGCCTCAACTCCTCTTCAACCTTCTTTAGGAGTGGGAACGGTACTCTTCTAGGTATGGACAGACTGTATCCTTCTTCAAAGTAATCGTCACACTCAAAAGTTTTACTTATGACAGTGAGCACTGGCTTCTAAATGGACTTAAAAAAATACACTGTTTTCTCTATACCATCTTTTGATTATTTTGTTTATCGATGCTTATTCAAACGTTTCATCTCAGGAAATATCAAAGTTAAAATTGAATTGAAACTTTCTTTGTAGCGAATAAGCTTTGGAGTGTCAAAACATATCACACTCCCATATGTCGCTAATTATGAAAATAACATTTATGAAACCTATGATATTTGTGCCATGTACTAGAATGTGTATGGCAACTGAAAGGCATTTTCGTGGTTTTTCAATGTCTCACAATCACCTGCCTGGTCAAGAGGCTCTGAGATGGCGATCGAGACAGATTCCCGTTCGTTCTTCGCTGGTTTCCGCCGAACGAATCCGGGTATTTCCGAGTGACCTTGGCCAGCAAACCATTAAAATCGGTGCGAGTCGTAAAGACGAGGCCCAGCTTAGTGAACCGTTCGTTCGTGAAACACACTTGGAAGACTTGTTACCGTTCCTCTCTTCTGCCGAGACAACCCGGAACCAGTCTAGAATGCATAGACGGGAAAGCCAATCTTATTCCGTAATACATCACAGCAAAACGTGATAAAAATAGACACGTTTGGGATCTAGGTTACCCCATTTCAACCAACGAATTTGCGTATTCTCGTGATAAGTGAATTAATTGTCGACTGGCCAGTCTGTCATGCACAAACAGTGAAACTCCACTGTCAGAGTGGTAGACCGACAGAGAGATGAATGTTTCGCACGTGTACTCGTTGCGTTTGTACAACAAACACCTTGTTACTGTGTGTGGAAGTGCATTACCAATATTGAGACCGACAGCTTCACAGTGTTGCGTTTGCAGAAGGCTACGAAGTACAGGTGTTTTCCAATCAGACGATTTCACAACCGTGAAAGCTCCCAAACCGTTTCGGGATATACCAGGTCCCCGCGGACTGCCTTACCTCGGGTCACTGTTGGACCACAGAATAGGTAAGTTAAGATTTCAAATACCGAACAATACTGACCAGCTATTCTGATCATTTGTGGTTAGCTCACTTTGTATCACATAAATGTTTGTCCGTTTCCCGAATGTGTACTGGCTAGCGAAGTTTTACGTCAATACATCAGTATCACATGTGATGCAGGTTTTGCAAATACCACTAAAATATGGCGATAACTTTTCGGTAGCCAGTAGATCGATGCTCATGATGTCAGTCACTGGATTGTCTGGTCCAGACTCGATTATATGTTATTTATCAAATGTCAGCTGAACTGTACCTGACTGTAGTGTGAAACAATACGTTTGCTGTTAGCCCAAACACTGTTTTGAAAAATTGTCAGGTTTATCAGTAAATCTCAAATCAGAGCAAATTGTGAAATATATTTTCAGAACCGTAACCTAAATTTGTGGATAACCTTGATTTGTGGATCGTGGTAATTATCATGCTATTTCATAATTTAAGTCTCGACTGACATCACGAAGCGGTAGTTTTGATGTACATACATTACGATACATATATAGAACGTCATACTAGTGCATTTGGATGTTTTGTATTGAACAAGATGTCATGGGAGCAGAAAAACAACGAGTTCGAAGAGAACGACATGACATGACATCTTCCAATTCAATACAAAACATCCAAATGCACGAGTATGATATTCTATATTTATTATATACCCTCTTATCTTGCATTAATCTGTTACTTAATAAAACAAATCATAGCGTAGTGGTAGGGGTTCAATACAGAATCTGGGGTGCAATACGGAATTTGACCACATCATCCGTTATGCCACCAAATACCCAATTTTATTTTGACAAAATGTCAAGTAAAAAAGATATCGTTTGCACCAACCTTCTCACATCTCGTCGTCTGCTTTCCTAGGTGTCTATACTTAATGCAATGGACTGTCGTACATAGTGATTAAAAAAGTAACCGACTATGCAATCCACGAAGGTGACCTCACATTTTGTTACCACACGAATGGGTGATGATTTCAAATGGCTTCTGTAAACAAACGTTTCATTCATGAGAGGAAAATTGGCCATTTCCTGAATCAATGTATAAAATGATCAGTGAGTATACAAAATGAAATCGTGCATTTATAATATGATTTTCGTCACACTTCCCTTATGTTCATGAATCAAGAGGGGCAGTGGGGTAGCCTAGTGATTAAAGCGTTGGCTCGTCACGCCGAAGACCCGGGTTCGAATCCCCACATGGGTAAAATGTGTGAAGCCCATTTCTGGTGTCCCCTGCCGTGATGTTGCTGGAATATTGCTAAAAGCGGCGTAAAACCAAACTCAGTCAGTCAGTCATGAATCAAGGTTATGCAAGTATAAAAATTTCCTGAAAATCCATCAGTCTTGAAAAGTGATTCCTTGAATGTTTTCGATAATGTGAGGCTTAAAAAGCAATTAGTGGGTTTAATGAGTGGCAAACATATTGTAAAGTTGTACCCCAGTGAGAATAATTATTTAAGGAGTCAAACATATAGTGAGCTAAATATACTTATAACCATCTTTATGTTAATCATCTCAGCTTAACACCCACAGATGTCCTGTTTTGTTCTAAGTAGGCAGGAAAAATGACAGCATGAGTCAGTATCAGTTGTATTTTAGCAGAATTCAACATGGCATGACAATTCATCACACATGTCCATTTTTCAACTCATTTCCATGTCAAATAAGCTGAACTGTTTCAACTACAGCTGACAGTTGAATAAAATCGTGACAGTCATGAGGCATGTGACCATGGCAGTATGCCAGATTTACCATTGACACACACTGTCATGAGCAGTTGTATATTGTTTTCATTGATTTTTTTTGTTTGTTTTTAACACCACACTCAGCAATATTCCAGCTATATGGCTATGGTCTGTATATAATTAAGCCTAGACCAGACAGTCCAGTGATCAACAGCATGAGCATTTATCTGTGCCATGGGATATGATGAGTCAGTGATCCTCACTAAGGGTCAAGGAACTGTACTGAACACATTAAATCATAATGGCAGATCGTGGAAGTTGTACCAACCAATGGATCAAACAGTCATCCTAGACAAGAAATGGCCGAACAGATTAGTCGGGACAATGGCATTGAGAAATTGGTTGCAAACTGCCACTCAGATAAGAAAGCTGTTAGCAAGAGTATGTGCTCAGACGGTACAAAATCGTCAGCACAGATGGCAGCTGATGCTCATGTGTCTTCCCTCAAACCAGATGTAGTCCGGTTTGGTTCAAATGAGAATGACATATTATTAAATAACTCGAAATAGGGACAAGTGCACAAAACATAAATAAAACACATGGTCCTGAAACCTCTGTACCCAACAGGATCTGAAGTCTGACCTTTTTTGATCGATCATGGAAAAAGTTGTTTATGAAACTATCAATGATAGTATCATGTAATATTGTGCTATTTTCACGCTTCACACCGGGGCATGACAAACGGCTGATGGAACAGTGCTTGACTAGCTGGGGTAATCTCACCTGGCTGTGCTGAATTACACCTGCATGTGTGCTGGTGCTGTCCCACCAGCCATTTGCCACCCCTCGGTGTGAAGCATGAAAATGGCTAGCAAAATTTGGAAAATATCCACACACTGTTCACAACCATCTCATCACACTAACCACTAGAACCCATGAGATCTGATCTGATGTCCCCGCCGTGATATTGCTGGAATATTGCTAAAAGCGGCGTGAAACTAAACTCACTCACTCATGAGATCTGATCACCTTATCTTTTTCAGATATGATCATATCATAATTCTGTCTGCTAATGGCACCTGGACTAGTAGATCTGTGTTCATTCCCACTATCCCCTACTATTTCAGCACAGTATATATAAGCATACAAATCCATTTAATATATATTTATGACGTTCAAATATTAGGTGGTATTCAGTTTTCTCAAAGTTTCTGTAAAGCTATTTAACAATATGAATCATCCTAGATTACTGTCAATAGAAAGTAGGGGAAGTTGCTGTCTTTTAACATATAACAAAACCTCAGACAATACTTAGCAGTATCTTCTTTTCAAACCAGTTTAACTGCTATCTTATTTGAACGGACAGAGCATCTGCCAAGGAATTAGATGGTCAGTGGTTTGATCCATGGCTGTTTAAAATGAGTAATTATTGTTACCCTGCCTGGCGCTCAGATTTGAGAAGGAAAAACAAGGACTAAAGTACTGTCGGAAATAGAAAAAAACTATTTTCTCATTTATCTCTACAATTTATGGAGTTGATATGTGAAAGTATGAAATATCTGTTATACTAAGTTCGGCCTAACTACAGTCTCAGTGGTAGAGGGATAGGAAACGGAGAAAAGGGACTTTACTGCGACGATATTGTATTACAAAGGACACTTTTTAAATGCCCAATTTGAAATTAGACGTAGATTCATTATAAACGATAGCTGACGTAAAAAATAATAACTTTTATGCTGAAATTCGAATCTATTAAGGATGTAGCTACCATGCAGTCTCATTGTCACTATAAAAGAAACAGATAGGAGAGGTCGTCTCAAAAGCAAAACCTGGGGTCGGGCTGGGGGATAGAGATATCAGCTAAGAAAAGATAATCCTTTAGGGCAATTATACTGGGGAGGAACACGGCACGTCATAACAATTTACAAATAATATCCAGTCCTGTCGATCTTCGGGTGGTCATGCCACCTATATACTACGATGCGTTTCTATGGTTTTCGGGTATCATACTCTTTTACATATCTCAACATAAACTTTATGAAAGAAAGACACGTAAGATGTTAATCAATAGATAAGACATAGTCAACACACATGAAAAAGCACAAAATATCTTTGAGATGACCCCTTGTGCCTGTAGGCAGCATGTGCATTTCATGCCAGGTAAGTCAACGGTCTGTCGTCATACCTGGCTGAGCGACCTAATTGCCATCTATAGTCTGATCTATTGTTTTCAGCAGCTATTCGTATTTTTCTAAGTTTTGCCCGATTTTACGAGTAAACATGCTTTTCTGGATATCGTATAATGCATCCCACTGAACGCCCAGTTAGGCCGAAGTGGGTTATTTCGACATATGCTATTTGCAATTGTGTAAATTTTAGGGATACAGAGTAACAGCCTAAAAACAGTTTTTTTCTATTTCCGACAGTACTTTAGTATCTTCATTTTAGACAGCAGCATGATGTCTCAATGAGCTGAGACTTTAAAACTGGCATTAGTCCGGAAAAATGTACACACATGCACTACATTATTCCAAATTACTCCATACCTACCATGAAATCAGTTGGTTGTATTGTATATGAAACACTTCCTTTTTCTATTCAGGACGCTTCAAGAATGTTGACAAGTACCAAGATTCATTGATATGGCTGCATGACAAATATGGGAAGATTGCGAAGAAGACACTTGCTGGTAAAACTACTGTCCACATATTTGATCCTGACTATTTCCGAACGGTGTACCAACATGAAGGCAGGATTCCCTACATCCCCCCACTGCTGGAGAGTGTGCAGCTCTACAGACGGAAGAGGGACATGTCTCCTGGACTGGGCTTTACGTAAGGGCAGCATTTTTATTTTTTGTGTTTCTCATCACTCGACCAAACCCTTTTAATTTCATTGCAGACACCCCCCAGAAAACTTCTTTTTTTCCAACATTCCAAAACCGCTAACTCGAACCTAAACTGTAACGCCTCGTCATATAAATTTTTTATCTGTCTAAAATGGTTTATTCAGTTGCTGCCACAAGTCCAAAGAACGCGAGAAATTGTAATAAGAATTTTTTTTAAAAAATTCCCGAACAAACGACACATTTTCAGAATTTGGTGGCTACGTGAAACACATAAGAAAAAATGATGCCCTAAGTGGAGTAACAATGTGCTCTTCCCAACTCCCCACCCCATTTTTTATCACTAACTGAGGACATATTGCATTGCTTACCATGAAAATGGGAATGACATTGCTTATAGAACTGGTGCAGTCTGAAACTGCAAAATTATACGGAGAGAAATAAATAGAGGATCACAGGAAAATTCAAGCGTTCCTTTGATATTTTCCAGTTTTCATCACCAGTTTGTATAGCGCTTTAGTGTAGAAAACTGGAAAATAATAAAGGAACACTTGAATTATCCTGTGATTCTTTATTTGTTTCTCTCAGAATACAACTTTCAAATATATGTAAAAACTTGCACCCTATGCATGTGTGTGAATTTGACTGTTCAGACTTCAGCTGGAACAGTATGTAAGGTAAAATATGTCCTTTTAAGATCAAGAATAAATTCGATATACCGGTAATGATCTTCTAAATCATCAATCCCATTATATGACACTGTTATATATAATTGTATGTTAAGCAGCAGGTGCAGTTGTTTTTGTCTGGTGCAACAGGTTTATCATGTAAGGTTGCACAAGTAGGTTTCATTTCCTTAAATGGAGTGCAGCATCAAAGTTTTTGATGCACAGATGTACTATTCTCATCTAATCCTTATAGTATTTTTTATTTACGCTCCCCACAGCCATGCTTTTTCAGGATCTCCTTGAAAAGGCAATATGCAAAGAGCTTTATATCTTACCATAAAATTTCTAGTTTTCAAGAGCCTCTGACATTAGTATAGTTTGGTATTATATATTACCCTAACCTAGAGAATTATATTTAGGTGGCCTCCCCTAGTTCCATTTGACCCCCCCAACCCCTAAAATAACTGACCTGTCCCTAATTAGGTCAGTTATCAGTTGCGAAATTGATACACCAAAAGAATTCCAGTTTACAGGCAAAGAAAGACGTTTTACAACGACTTGCAACATGTTGAAAGACTGCCAATTAAGAGAAGTCTAATCTCCTTTAAAATCCACAGGTCTAAGGCAAGAAAAAATTCATGAAAGACTAGTGACACAAGTAACCATTAGGTAGATGCAGAAGATATGTCCCGACTGCTTCTGTTTCAAATTGATTGTAACTCTACCGACATCTCTTGTTTACAGTAATGGTGAAGAGTGGTACCGTCTCCGCACAGCGGTCCAGAAGTTGATGATGAGACCTCACGAAGTCTATGCTTACCTCCCCTTTACAAATCAAGTTGCATCAGAATTTGTGGACAAGATTGAGAACTTAAGAAATGAAGATGGTGAAGTGAAAGACTTCGAAATTGAAATGGCAAAGTGGTCTTTGGAATGTAGGTCAAAGTTCTCCTAAACAACGTGTTTATGTGTGTACAGACCATGCCTATATGTATGTATGAAATAAGCCAAAAACCCAGCCAGACTTCTGGGCTAGTAACTTCTAAAACTTACCAGCCCAGGAGAGATTCAACAAGTCCTTCTTAAACACTAAATAGACAGTGCCAGTGGACACGTTATCTGAATATTGTTTTCACCCGTCCATCCAGCTGGCTAGCTGTAAAATTAGACTGTCCGGCAGAAATCTAGCCCATCTCGGTCGGTCGGTCGGATGGGCCTTATTTCATACACTGCTATATGATAACACCTGCATTGCCAGGTTTCACTTGTCAGAGGTACCCATGAACATCTCGGTTAGAATTGGTGTTCAGCAACCCATGCATGTCGTAAGAGGCAACTATTGGGATTGTCTGCTCAGACTCGCTGGCTTTGTTGATACATGTCATATCCCAACTATAGGATTATAGGATCACAGGATTGTCTGGTAAGACTTGCTGGCTTGGTTGATACATGTCATATCCCAACTATAGGATTATAGGATCACAGGATTGTCTGGTCAGACTCGCTGGCTTGGTTGATACATGTCATATCCCAACTATAGGATTATAGGATCACAGGATTGTCTGGTCAGACTGGCTGGCTTGGTTGATACATGTCATATCCCAACTATAGGATTATAGTATCACAGGATTGTCTGGTCTGACTCGCTGGCTTGGTTGATACATGTCATATCCCAACTATAGGATTATACGATCACAGGATTGTCAGGTCAGACTCGCTGGCTTGGTTGATACATGTCATATCCCAACTATAGGATTATAGGATCACAGGATTGTCTGGTCAGACTGGGTGGCTTGGTTGATACATGTCATATCCCAACTATAGGATTATAGGATCACAGGATTGTCTGGTCAGACTGGCTGGCTTGGCTGATACATGTCATAGCCCAACTATAGGATTATAGGATCACAGGATTGTCTGGTCAGACTGGCTGGCTTGGTTGATACATGTCATATCCCAACTATAGGTTCACAGGATTGTCTGGTCAGACTCGCTCGCTTGGTTGATACATGTCATATCCCAACTATAGGATTATAGGATCACAGGATTGTCTGGTCAGACTGGCTGGCTTGGTTGATATATGTCATATCCCAACTATAGGATCACAGGATTGTCTGGTCAGACTTGCTGGCTTGGTTGATACATGTCATATCCCAACTATAGGATTATAGGATCACAGGATTGTCAGGTCAGACTCGCTGGCTTGGTTGATACATGTCATATCCCAACTATAGGATCACAGTATCACAGGATTGTCAGGTAGAGGTTCAGTTATTTACAGACCGCTGCCATGTAGCTGGAATATTACTGAGTGCAGCATTAAACAACAAACAAATGAACATTTGCCTGAGGTCTACACAAGGTACATTGTCGAGACTACCCCTTGTCTGAGGTCTACACAAGGTACATAGTCTAGACTTTGTACCTTGTCTGAAGTCTGGGGCGGTGGGGTAGCCTAATGGTTAAAGTGTTGGCTCGTCACGCCAAAGACCCGGGTTCGAATCCCCACATGAGTACAATGTGTGAAGCCCATTTCTGGTGTCCCCCGCCATGATGTTGCTGGAATATTGCTAAAAGCGGCGTAAAACCAAACTCAGTCAGTCAGTCAGTTGTCTGAGGTCTACACAAGGTACATTGTCTAGACTACCCCTTGTCTGAGGTCTACACAAGGTACATTGTCTAGACTACCCCTTGTCTGAGGTCTACACAAGGTACATAGTCTAGACTACCCCTTGTCTGAGGTCTACACAAGGTACATAGTCTAGACTACCCCTTGTCTGAAGTCTGGGGCGGTGGGGTAGCCTAATGGTTAAAGCGTTGGCTCGTCACGCCAAAGACCCGGGTTCGAATCCCCACATGAGTACAATGTGTGAAGCCCATTTCTGGTGTCCCCCGCCATGATGTTGCTGGAATATTGCTAAAAGCGGCGTAAAACCAAACTCAGTCAGTCAGTCAGTTGTCTGAGGTCTACACAAGGTACATTGTCTAGACTACACCCATTGTCTGAGGTCTACCCCTTGTCAAGGTACATAGGTCTAGACTAGACTACCCTTGTCTGAGGTCTACACAAGGTACATAGTCTAGACTACCCCTTGTCTGAGGTCTACACAAGGTACATAGTCTAGACTACCCCTTGTCTGAGGTCTACACAAGGTACATAGTCTAGACTACCCCTTGTCAGAGGTCTACACAAGGTACATAGTCTAGACTACCCCTTGTCTGAGGTCTACACAAGGTACATAGTCTAGACTACCCCTTGTCTGAGGTCTACACAAGGTACATAGTCTAGACTACCACTTGTCTGAGGTCTACACAAGGTACATAGTCTAGACTACCCCTTGTCTGAGGTCTACACAAGGTACATAGTCTAGACTACCCCTTGTCTGAGGTCTACACAAGGTACATTGTCTAGACTACCCCTTGTCTGAGGTCTACACAAGGTACATAGTCTAGACTACCCCTTGTCTGAGGTCTACACAAGGTACATAGTCTAGACTACCCCTTGTCTGAGGTCTACACAAGGTACATAGTCTAGACTACCCCTTGTCTGAGGTCTACACAAGATACATAGTCTAGACTAACCTTGTCTGAGGTCTACACAAGGTACATTGTCGAGACTACCCCTTGTCTGAGGTCTACACAAGGTACATAGTCTAGACTACCCCTTGTCTGAGGTCTACATAAGGTACATAGTCTAGACTACCCCTTGTCTGAGGTCTACACAAGGTACATAGTCTAGACTACCCCTTGTCTGAGGTCTACACAAGGTACATTGTCTAGACTACCACTTGTCCGATTTCTTTTTTGTGGAAGTTTCAGTTGCTGAGTGATTTAGATCACTGTCTTTGTTTTCTGACAATTTGGTGCCTCAATCTGAGATTGTGGGTTCAAATCCTTAATTGGACTCAAAAAGTACAAAATTTTGGACTTAACTAAGAAAGTGTAATCCCAAATATAACACTTGTGACATCTGACCATTCCTCTTAGTTTTATCATGTTTATCCAACTGTTACCATTTTTCAGCTGCAGCAATGAATTGTTTTGAGACGCGTCTTGGATACTTGGACAATTCAGCCTCTGCAGAAGCAAATAGGATGGTCAACTCAAATACAGTTTTGTTTGAGAAGTCGACCAAAATGAAGTTTTTACTACCCCTGCATAAGCTTGTCACCACCCCAACATGGAAGACCATTTTAGATTCTGAGGACTTCTTTGCTGGGTAGAAACATTTTCTTTTCATTTGCAAAACAGTAAATATTATCTAGAGACTAGGGGTGGGTATTGCAGTGAATCTTCATATTGTGATATATTGCAGTGCGAAAGCATATATTGCGATTTGTATTGCAGGCATTATTTTTAACCCAAAAAACTACTTATAATCGAGTAAATGCTTGATTTATGAAGCAAAAACACGACAAAAATCACTATGATTGATTAAACTGTAATAAAAACTTTTAATCATAACAAAATAAATAATGTTTGGCACAAATGAAACAAGGAAAAGAACAATTTAACATGAACACAGTGGTTACTAGTTTGAACTAGTTTTTCCACTCTCAAAAAAAGTCCTGAGATTTTAGACAGCATCTTGACCTGGTCAGGACATATCAGAGATCACTGGTCATTCATGAGTAAACATTCAGATCCCAAACATTGCGAACACTTGAACAAAAAGTAAGAACACAAGTTCAAACCGAACTTAACTTGACTTCCGGTTTGAAAAACGGAAATATCCGAAGATTCCAATTGTTGCGAAGTTTACCGAATACATGTCGAAATACTGGTTTTCTATCAGCTGTTACGGATAAATAATTGCCGTGACGAAAGGTTTAAGAATCCCCTTAGAACCAGCAAAATATAACACAGACAAGTCTAAAATATTCAATAATGTATTGAGCAAACAATGAGCAAGATGTAATGAATCACAATTCAGATTTCTAGTACAATGCAATTGAGTCACAGATCTAAAGTTTTGAGTCACAAATAAAATATCAACTCACCACGAGCCTTGGTAATTACAGTGAGATCAGATATTCTAACTGAAGCTTGTTTACAAATGAGAGCAGTCAGGCACAAAGTGTCAGGGTCAGACGATGTTGACGAAGGCAAACAACGATGGTAGGCAAGTCCCGTGTAATTCCGTGTGTCAGTCTGTGTGTGATTCCTTGTCGCACCCCACAACAACCAGCCTTTATATATACTGACACAGATTCTCGAACTTTCCAGCAAAGCATGGCTATATCATTAACCACTTAGATCTTTCTCGATATCGCTGGGAGACTCCGCGACATAACGATGTCAACACATAAAGATGTGGTCAAGGGAGGTAACTCTGGAGCGCCATCCCAAAAGGCATGCCGCTAAAAATACTATTGCCATTGAACATATATGACGAGAAATGTGACCCACAACCAACACCCAAAACTTTAAACATTGTGACTCATAATTATTATCACCTAACCAATGTTATTACAAATTACAAAAAGCACACTCTCGTAACACAGCTTATCGCAATACGTATCAATTTCATGTCTGAACCGGTAAATACCAGTAAAACGGTTACATTGCGCAGCCCTACTATAGTTTGGCATGAAATGCATGTGGACCCGTTTTTTGGTAAATATCTCTTCATCCAATGACCCAATCGATCTCAAACTGTGCAAGTGGATGTTTTGTCAGACAACCTAATCACATTGTAAATCACCGATTTTATGCATTTGTATTAACTGTAGAGACTGTTGTTTACTGAGAAAGTGCAATACCAAATAGATCATGTGTTGCTTACAGCACATCCCCAGTGTATGTAGCATCCGGTCGCTCCTCCACCACCCCGATATGAGGGACTCAAATGCTTACTTCCAAAGTGATGTTCAAACGATTGTCATCTTCCTTCCCTCATGCACCTTCCCCTTCCCCTCTTTGCATCACTTTGGGTTTTCCGACCACACCACGCTGCCAGTGACTCACTCTGTATATGACTGAAATACTTTCTAAAGCACCATCAAACAAAGACTCACTCAATTGCGTTGTCTCATAGGACGGGATGTCGTTTAGTCGAAGAAACTGCCAAGAAGATCCAGACGTTGGTGGACGAGGACAAGCTGACGGAAAACAAGTACATGTTCCTGGCATACCTGCTCACACAGAAAGAACTCAGCTTTAAAGATGTCACCACTATCACTCTGTCCCTGTTTGGGGATGGCCTCAGCACGGTATGATTTGTATACATCACGATTATAGCATGACAAGACCGCCCATGATCTAGAGTTGGCAGATCGTTTTGGTATGACGGAATCATCATTGTTACAATCTAATTTAAACCAGTTCTTAGTTCTCACTACTGCTAAACGAAGATCTTAAGACATCCCTAAACCTCTAAGATGCCATGACTGCAAACTTGCATCACCTGGGCAGGCCAGGAATCTTGAGTTGTGGGTTCAACTCCCAGATTTGCCAACATTATATTTTCATCAACATACACCTGCTTGTGGATTTTACCATACTGCATCATCTAGACTTCCTCCTACATTTATTGTGATAAAAGCAACTCAGTTGCTCACTCAGAAACACAGAAATGTATGGTACAGTTTAAGATAGGTACACGCGTGAAGATCCGGGTTAGAATTGGTCTATAGCAACCCATGATTGTTGTAGGAGGTGGCTTACAGGATCAGATGGTCTTGCTCACTTGCCATGTAGACCCATGTCATCATATCCCAAATGCGTATATCGATTCTCATGCTATTGATCACTGGGTTGTCAGGTTAGACTCAGTTATTTACATACCGCCACTATATAGCTGGGATATTGTGAGTGCAGCATTAAAGGCAAAGTCACGATTTTCGACAATATGTTCGTCTATAATATACTCTTCAAAAAAAGAAACTTGACATGCTGTTTTGGAGTTTATTTACTGAGTGCACATAACTTGGTCACTTGGTCAGAGTGAAATGTCAGTATCTGGTGTGACCACCATGATCATCGATGGCAGCGGTGACCTATAGAAGAAAGGAGATGCCGAATGCTGTCTTGAGGAATGTTTTTTTACTCTTGCTGAACTGCTGTGTGCAGTTCTTGTGTCTGAGGTAGCAGACTACGCTGGCGCAAGCGTCAATCAAGGGTTTCCCATTGATGGTCAATGGGGGACAAATCCAGTGATCGAGAAGGCCAAGGTAACACCTGAACATTGTTTTGCTGGAGGAAGTCCTGTCAAACGCGTGCAGCGTGAGGTTGAGCATTGTCATGCTCCAAAGATCAACCGTTGACGTTGATGAAGGGAACAACGGCATCTTCTGGCAAAAGTTCTGGCTTCCCATAACCAATTGCGCACTGTTTGGTCGGCGATTTGGCGCAGTCCAGGGATTTGGATTGTTGTGGATGAGGCGGCGTGGTGTTTGAATGAAGATGTCTCAACCGGATGTAGCGATCCTGGGCAGCGGTGGTAACTCTAGGTTGACCTGACTTTGATCTGTCATTAACACTCCCAGTATTGTTGTATCGGGTCCATAGGTTTGAGATGGTCTGTCTGGACACACTGAAGTGCCTTGCCACCTCATGCTGCAATGCCCGTCCTTGTAAACGGCCGCTGGCGTTGGTCATTGAGCTTCAGTCAGTCTTTTCATTCTCTTGTCATCTATATTGGCTAAGAGCAATCCACATGGAGTGCCATTCATGTATCTTTTTAAAGTCTACAGTCATAGGCTTCAGCTCAGGGTGATACACAATTTCATGATGCACGTGCATTTCATGTAGGGTGCATTTTAGCGATTCACTACAGACGTGAGTGAGTGTAACCATTCCCCCACATGTTGGGATTCAGCATGGATTGGTTTGTGTCAAATAGTTTTCTAAAATTCAAATTTTTCATATGTCAAGTTTCTTCTTTTGAAGAGTATATATATATATACTGGGCCATAGCACTCAGTGGCACTCACTTTAGCTCCTTATTGATAGAATAAAAGACTTATTTTCCCTTACGATTTGCCTGAAATCAGTAATTGAAACTTCGAGATGAACAGCTTCCAAACAGATGACACTTGCCATATATGGAATGTAAACGATTGTTCCATACATTGAAAACTGTCGCACGTGGTGTTGTCGGTGTTTGCCGAACTGGCCTCAGTCAAAAGGTGCGTTATAGGATATTCGTAAAGAGCGTTCCAAGGGACATAATATGGGATTCGCTTGAAATATAGTTCGGTCGGTAGAGGGTGCGAGAGTCGATTTAATGCAACGTTGCATTAATTCATTCAAACTTTTTAATTTCATATTGCAATCTTAATACATAATTTTTTCAGAATAGATTATATGGTAGCTTTGCTGGGGGCTGATAGTTAGTGTTAATGAGAGAAATGCAATGTTGATTTTAGAGAAGTGTTTAAACAACAAACAACTCTAAATAGGGAAGCCTTACAGTTGCTTTGGCAAGGTTCAATTTAGAAGGAAACCAGCAAGCATTTACAAGCACTCAGCTTACATTGAACAAAAGCTTCCAACAACAGTGGAGTATAACTGTTACTTACTTCCTCCAGACAGTTCCAGCAGCACTCTTCAACTTATACTGTCTGGCTGCCCACCCCAATGTCCAGCAGACCCTGGTAGAGGAGATCAGAGCTGTGGTTCCCCAACAAGGGGAGATAACTGCACAGATGATACAGAAGATGCCATATCTTAAAGCTTTTGTCAAAGAGACTTTCAGGTAAAACCGCACTTACTTTTAAAAATGGCTAAAGGCTCTTTTTCAGTGGAAAATCTCCATTGGATCATGTGGCATATATATATATGGATAAGTGAATATGTTTGACTGTATGCTTCATGTGCGATATTTACCATGTGCAACTTCCTTTTGTCTGGCAGTTAATGGCAGACCTTGACCTTCTGCAAAATGCTGCCCTGAAAACAGCCTCAGCTTTATAACAATGAAGGAAAGCTGTGATGACAGTGGGCTCAGGTGGCCTTGTTTAAAGGCGGACTCACAAGGGTCAGCTCATCCAATTGATATGCGAATTTGACCGAGTCGTATCGTCGGAGTGTTTAGTTGAATTCAACAGACAGAGCAAATCGTCCACTTCAACCCGCATTGATTGTGTCCCGAGTGTGTGGAGCCTGTTCTAGATATTCAGCAAGTTGGATGTGGCCCGGCCAATCAAATTGCATTTTTGGTGTCATGTGGTAAATGTTTACATCAAAACACCAAACATTGCTTTGTCTGCTTCAAAGAAACCACGGCTCGATTTTTAGCAGGAGGAAACGGAGTGTTTTGTGGCTCATTATTATCTCAATATTTCAATACATGATCCTGAAAACCTTCTTTTCCTATGTGAAAGAAGTTGTAGCCGACTACATCTTCAATTTCTAGTTCTTCAATGAGTAGGTTGTATGCTCCGTGCATGTCACGACAGAGAATCAAATCCTTCGTCCAACAACTTCTCTTCCATACCGCAGTGAAGCATGAATACCCCACTCAGACACATTATACTGACTCCGAGGCGACCAGTCCTTGTTGTGCCCATTAATGCAGAGCGCCAGGCAGGGACCAACAAGTACCATATTTTAACGTCTATGACGCGGTCAGGGATTGAACCCGCGACGTTCCACTCTCTGGGCGGATGCTCTAACCACTACACCATGGAAGCGGTCTGTGATTGTGGGTTCAGATTCCAATTCACCCAGATAGTTCTGGGTTTGTTGGTGTCATGCTTGTGGGTAACCATGTAAGATCAGCATCACTTTGGACGTCCCAGTTAGCTCCATATTCTCCCATGAAGATCCGGGTTAGAATTGGTCTTCAGTGACCCATGCTTGATGTAAGAGGAGACTACCGGGATCAGGTGGTCAGGCTCGCTGACTTGGTTGACACAGTCATCGTATCTCAGATAGATGCTTGTGCTGTTGAACACTGGATTGTCTGGTCCAGACTCGATTATATACAGACCGCCGCCATATAACTGGAATACTGTTGAGTGCGGTGTTAAGCAACCAACAACCGTATTCTCCATGATTGTTTCTAGGTGTGTAAACACACTATGTGTGGGTTTCACCAAGATGATTAATGTCCAAGACCTGCATCTATCCTCCCAGCTAACATGAGCTGAGATGCTGGGTTATAAGTGGATTAATGTCTTTGAACAGCAATCGGAAGTGATGCGCATAAAGGCAAGAATAAGCCAAAATAAAGTGGATTAATGTTCAAAACAGCATAACAGCCATCTTATTCAAGATTCAGTAAGAAAGGTGTGACTTGAACTGCAGTGAAAGAGTAATTGAGTTTTACGCCACACTCAGCAATATTCCAGCTATATGGCACAGGTCTGTAAATAATCGAGTCTGGACCAGACAATCCAGTGATCAACAGCATGAGCAACAATCTGTGTGGTTTGGATACGATGACATGTATCAACCAAGTGAGCCAAGCGTGACCAGATCCTATTAGTCACCTCTTATGACAAGCATGGGTTGCTGAGATCAATTCTAACCTGGATCTTCACGGGTTAAATATGTAATTTTCAAGCAGGACTTCATCCACTTTCAGGTTTTACCCAATTGGCCTAGAAGTGTCCAGAAGTCTCCAGAAAGACCTGGTTATTGGAGGGTATCATGTACCTGCTGGGGTGAGTGAGGGGGTACCTGCTGGAGAGGGGGTGACTACAACTATTGTGGTTGCAGTTCATCAACAACTAGGGTCTGGGTTAGCAAGTGTTAAGCATTTATGCCTTTGTTCACTTTCCCATAATATAGCACACTATCAGTTCATTTGAACTATTCACTGATTTACTAAATGCCCTTCAAAGACTCTATTCACTGATTTACTAAATGCCCTTCAAAGACTCTATTCACTGATTTACTAAATGTCCTTCAAAGACTCTATTCACTGATTTACTAAATGTCCTTCAAAGACTCTATTCACTGATTTACTAAATGCCCTTCAAAGACTCTATTCACTGATTTACTAAATGTCCTTCAAAGAGTCTATTCACTGATTTACTAAATGTCCTTCAAAGAGTCTATTCACTGATTTACTAAATGCCCATCAAAGACTCTATTCACTGATTTACTAAATGCCCTTCAAAGACTATTCACTGATTTACTAAATGCCCTCAAAGACTCTATTCACTGATTTATTAAATGCCCTTCAAAGACTCTATTCACTGATTTATTAAATGCCCTTCAAAGACTCTATTCACTGATTTACTAAATGCCCTTCAAAGACTCTATTCACTGATTTACTAAATGCCCTTCAAAGACTCTATTCACTGATTTACTAAATGCCTTACTAAATGCCCTTCAAAGACTCTATTCACTGATTTACTAAATGCCCTTCAAAGACTCTATTCACTGATTTACTAAATGCCCTTCAAAGACTCTATTCACTGATTTACTGTTTTGTTCCCTACTGTTGCATATTTTCAGACTCAGCTGGAAATGAACAACTTTGTACTCTTTAAGAAGCCTGAGTACTTTCATGAACCAGAGACTTTTCTTCCCGAGCGTTGGCTCCGTGGTGGTTCTGCCCACAACATCCACCCATTCCTCCTCACACCGTTCAGCCACGGTCCAAGGATGTGTGCAGGTAACTCAATCTCTTCTCTGGCATCTGATATCATCTATTGGCATCCACTGGCATCTGTTGGCATCCACATCTTCTCCAGTAAAAACAAAGGACCAGTGAAGCTGGAACTCTTCATGCTTGATTCCATCAATGACAACACCCTAAATTGTTCTGGTAGTTTGAATCTGAATTTCAAAATGGCCACCACAGCACCCATATTGAAGGAGGTCTTTATGGCCCTTGCTCAAGTCATTATTGTAAAACTGTAATGAAATTTGGTAGATGTGGAGGTAGTTGTGTCTCTTGTTAATTGTTTTGCAATATTTCAAAGTTTGACCTTTGGATTGACTTTTGCACTTTGACCATGTTGCTAAGTTCTTTCCAAATGTTATTCCAGTGAAAGAAATTAACCTTATTTTCAAACTGGCCCTTTGGCCCAGTAGACATAAAAACTTACTGGTCCAACATGTTTTCTACTGGCCCAGTAAAAAAAAAAAACCAATGCAGTAAAAAACTCAGCTTTATATTGACCATCTGTAGTACTAGTAATACAAATGACTATGGTGAGGCATTTTAGAAGTTGTAGGTAATAGAAATGACAAAATCTTGCCAGGTTCTCGGTCACTGTGAACAAGCCATGAGACAGCGAAGATGCCTGGAATGTTCTACTTCGCTCATTTTTATCCCCCGCCGCACGTTTAGCGCAAACCGGGGGATATAGTATTAGGCTTCGTCCGTTCGTACGTACGTACGTACGAATTGGAATATCTTAAGAACCGTCGACTAGATTCTTTTCATATTTGGTACCTAGGTTCATCACACTATAAGAAAGGTCCAAGTCAGGTTTGGTGACCTTGACCTTAATTTCAAGGTCACAAGGGGGACTTTCTCGTTTTACCTGCATGTTAAGCTATCTCAAGAACCGTTCAGTGGATTTTTTCTTCATATTCAACCCCAAGCTTTATCTAGGGAAGGCGCAGGGCCCAGTCGATTTTGGTGACCTTCACATAATTTTCAAGGTCATGGCGACTTGGAAGATTTCAGCATGTTAACCTGCATGTTAAACTATCTCAAGAACCATTCACTGGATTTTCTTCATATTTAACCCCAAGCTTTATCCAGGGAAGGCGCAGGGCCCAGTCAATTTTGGTGACCTTCACTTAAGTTTAAAGGTCACAGAGACACTTTGAAGATTTCAGCATGTTAAATTGCTTGTTAAGATAGTCAGCAAGATATCGCAAAAAATATTCAGTGTATTTTTTTCATATTTGACACCAAGCTTCATCTAGGGAAGACCCAGGGCCCAGTCAATTTTGGTGACCTTCACATAATTTGTAGGGTCACGACGACACTATGAAGATTTCAGAATGTAAGCCTGAATTGTCAGCAAGATATTTTAAGAACAGTTCACTGGATTTTCTTCAGAGACTTTCAAGACCTCCCTTGAATGTTTTTCAATAAGGAATTTCTTTAGTACTAGTTTTGCATATTTCATACACTATGACATTCATGTCAAGGTCAAAATCAGTCTGGAAAATATGTGTGTTTGAACAAAGAGCAAAATAATGTTTTTGTTGACATTTAACTTCATCTTAAACTTTCATTACTTTATAAGTTTGATTTGATAATTTGCGGCGGGGGATTATGTCACCTTAGTGACAAAGCTTGTTTTCATAAGAATGCTGCACATATTTCTGCCATTTTCTGTCAGGCGCAGTCACTTACTTCCTTATGTATGAACTTCCAGATTACTGTGTTTACAAACAAAATGAAAGTAGGTAATGAACGCGTGTGTGGCAGGGCATATTAAAAGCGAAACTTATCAATGTTACTGATGTTTCTTTATAATCAGTGATGATAAAGACACATAACCTTGTCACCCACCGGGGGACCAGTGACAAGGTTTCAATTCGCCCAGGCAAGATTCTACTATTCGCCTCGGGGCAAGCTCTAATTTCTATCACTGTTATTCCTCTTCCAAAACACCTGCCTGTCTGACAGTCTCTTTCACAGTCAATTTTAAAAAGTTGCACACAAAGGATGTCACACTGCACTGGAGGACACTAATCGTTGTTCAAGGTAACTGGAATCTTGTACTGGGACAAAATCATTTGAAATCATGTTCTACCTCTGAATAAATGCAGAGGCAAGACCATGTTGCAGCAGTAGGGCTGAGACGATACACTGTCACGATATGATATGTATCACGATATTTTTCCTCCAATACGATATGTATCACGATACATACACCTTGAAAAAATGACACAGTATTAAGATGTAAAATGATTTATTTCAAGGTATTTGTATATAACAATAACACCATTGTAATAAACAAACAAGTAGCTCTATCATACTTGAGTAATTTTCTCTATATAAGTACTTTAACATGTTTAAGATAATGCTGTTTTGAAAAAAAGTCGTGTATCGTTTTGTATCAATACACCAGTCGACGATACGATGGCTGTATTAAACTTAAATGTATCGTGATGTATCGGTGCATCAGTGAATCGGTGAAACGTCCCAGGCCTATGCAGCAGTGTAATGTCCATCCTCATACTGCATGTGTGGCAAATTTAGGAGGCAGCATAACATTACTGTACTTTTCTCCGGCTGCTTCTCAGGAACTCTGTCCCATAGAACTTGTGTGGGATAAGATGGATGATGAGTCAGACGAATGACGAAAACATTACATATTTCAGTGATGAGTTGTCATCGTGTTTGACGATGAGTTGTCATCGTGTTTGATGATGAGTTGTGATGTGTTTGATGATGAGTTGTGATGTGTTTGATGATGAGTTGTCATGTGTTTGATGAGTTGTCATCGTGTTTGATGATGAGTTGTCATCGTGTTTGATGAGATGAGTTGTCATCGTGTTTGATGATGAGTTGTGATGTGTTTGATGATGAGTTGTGATGTGTTTGATGATGAGTTGTCATCGTGTTTGACGATGAGTTGTCATCGTGTTTGACGATGAGTTGTGACGTGTTTGATGAGTTGTGATGTGTTTGATGATGAGTTGTCATCATGTTTGATGAGTTGTCATGTTTGATGAGTTGTCATGTTTGATGAGTTGTCATCGTGTTTGATGATGAGTTGTCATCGTGTTTGATGATGAGTTGTCATCGTGTTTGATGATGAGTTGTGATGTGTTTTACAGGAAGAAGATTTGCTGAGCAGGATCTGTATGTACTACTGACAAAAGTTCTGCAGCGCTTCCAGGTAAAATGGCACCACAAGGAGATGGGGCAGAGATATCAGGTACTGATGGTGCCTGACTGCCCAGCTAGGTTCTCATTTGCAGACAGGACATAATTCATGGAATGTTCTGAAAAAAATGTTGTATGCAGTCTTGGATGTCATACTCAGTATCCAATGTCATATGCAATCTCTGTGTTGAATGTTATATGCAGTCTTTGAAGATACATGCAATCTCAGATGTTGTACACAGTCTTAAGTGAGTTAAAATATAATGTTGCATCAGCTTTTTTCAGCCATATAGTGACTCACTGCCTGAATTAGTGAGTACGTTTTTATTCAAGCAATATCATGGTGGGGGACACCAGAATTGGACTTCACACACTGTACCCATGTGGGGAATCGAACCCGGACCTTTGGCGTGACGAGCCAACACTTTAACCACTAGGCTACCCCACCCGCCCCACAGTCTTGAATGTTGTGTCCAGTCTCGAATGTAATTAACAATCTGAGATGTCATGTTCATTCAAAATAGTGTTCGACAACCAAATTTGATCTGAGATCATATGCAGTTTTGAATGTTGTATGCAGACTCAGATGTCATATTCAGTCTAGAATACCAGACTCAATACGGGATGCCATTTTTAATCAGATGGTGTTATACTACCACTAGTCAGTGATACGGGAGGCAGCAACTCCATAATCTGGTATTGGATGTATAATGAGTGAGTGAGTGAGTTTAGTTTTACGCCACACTCAGCAATATTCCAGCTATATGGCGGTGGTCTGTAAATAATCGAGTCTGGACCAGACAATCCAGTAATCAACAGCATGAGTATTGATCTATGCAATTGGGATACAATGACATGTCAACCAAGTCAGCAACCCTGACCACCCGATCCCCGTTAGTCGCTTTTTACCACAAGCATGGGTTACTGAAGATCAATTCTAAATCGGATCTTCACGGGTCTGTATATATAAAACCGCCTCCGTGGTGTAGTGGTTAGAGCGTCCGCCCGGAGAGCGGAAGGTTGCGGGTTCGATATCCGGCCGCGTCATACCAAAAGACGTTAAAATATGGTACTTGTTGGTCCCTGCCTGGCGCTCGGCATTAATGGGTACAACAAGGACTGGTCGGATCGGAGTCAGTATAATGTGTCTGAGTGGGGTATTCATGCTTCACTGCGGCATGGTATCTCAGTGGGCTAGCACTATAAAACCAGCTTAAGTCTGGGCTAGTTCAAGCAGCCGCACATACACACGCATGCACGTCGTCATATGAGCGAAATATTCTCAAGCACGACGTTAAACCCAATTTCACCTCACCTCACCTGTATATATAAAATCCACACAGCATTGGTATTGGTGTCAGTATGTACCGTACACTGTAAAGATCAGATTCACTGCAGTAAAGAAGTTGTATATACAGAGAAGTTTGTTGTTTTTGATGAATTGTTCTAGTAATCATTCATTCATAAATGACTGGTTTAACTGTGACTTCCATTTCTTGATTCTATTTAAAGAATTTTGTTTGAAGCATTATTCCAACTTTTGTTGAACTTTATCCTGACAATCCAGTGATTGGTATTATGAGCAGTGATCTACATCATTTGGGCATGACTGATAAACAATTACCCACTGTGATCACCAGATCTATTTGGTTGCTTCTGACAACCAGCATATACCGGTAGTAAGTATTCTAACCGCAAGTGTTTCATACTTATGTTGATCTCATCCATTATTGTTTTCTTTATGAATGATGTTGTGGAGTGTACAAATTTGCATATGTTATGTATATTTTTATGCACATATAATGCCCTTGTCAAAACAATCAACATGAATAAACTTTTTATTATACATTTGACATTTTATTTTGTTTTCATAACAAAACTCTCATTTACAAATGATAATAAATAAGAGAACAGCTGTACCCTGAAAACTGCACCCTAGATCAACACGTCAGATGGTCCCAGGACCGACACCCTTGATCAGAACATCAGTAGGTCCCAGTAAGACTCGAGTGGTAACAGACAGCATCACTTTTGGCGACTCCTGAAGATGGCACCAGGTCGTTTCATCTTCCTGTCCTTGAAGTTGGTTTTCCATGATCCGATACTCCTGGTTAAGTTGTCACGATATGGCATGGCCTCTTCGGTTTTCTGCAAGCAGATGAACACCTGGTGTTTGGAAGTACCGGTACATGAAAAGACAGATACATTGTGCCTGATTCCCATGAAACCTAGGACTGCAGCAACTCCACTATGAGGCAGATATGATACATATCAATAGATGACAAGTCAGCAGTTGACTTATTATTTATTCATCAGTCAGAGACGTAACTTGTCAATTATATAAAAAAATAAATTTTTTGAAATAGTGAAATAACCAGTGATAACATTACTGTCAAATTAGCATTATCCTACTTTGATAAATAACGCTCAAATTGAAGTAAAAAGACTCCTTTTTAAAAGATACATGAGTATTTGATTCTAGTGATCACAACTAATGAATCAAATTAATGAATGGATGCAGTCTGATTCACCAAATAAATGTGTGAATCGAACGGCCCCAGTGAAAACCTAATGAAGCTAACAAGGGAATAGCAAGCCCAGCATATTACAGTATTTTCACCTGCTGAACCAAAACAAACTTGTAAAAATACCACAAAAGATACTGATCTACCAACCCATTCAGACTTCGACCTAATTATGACTTAAGGTCAGCAAGAATGCCATTCACCACAAAATTAAAAATGTATTGTGGCAAACTGTTCTTGCATAAACAGAAACAGCTAATTCAAGCTCGTTTCTCGAGGTCCACAGACACATTTAACTTGAGACCTATAATATTTTATTATCTTTAAGAAATACTTGGCTAAAATGAAAGTGAATTAGAGCATGAAACACAAACCAGTTGCTGCAAGATAACAAACAAACAAGAATTGATATTTTATATTTTGTTGGAATAACGGATATTAAATGTCTCTTTCACATACTGCACTGATTAAATCTTCTTGATTTGGCTAAAAAAATTAAAGTTTCATTTTTTCAAAGTTTTCAGTTGAAACCAGCTAAAAGAATGTGAAGAATAGTTTATGTTTGAAGGATAAGATGCATGCTCCGCCTACCTGTTGCCTGGTGACCTGGTCTGGCAGAGTCACTGACCCCTTCACCAGAACGTTGACCTTGGACAGCTCATCCTGTGTCAAGGGCGTGACAATGTAGAGGAGCTTCGTTTTGGGGTCGATACCTCTCACAAGACCTGCAAAATAATTATAATGCACCAGAGGTCAGGAGAGTGAGTTGGGTTTATTGCTGGTTTAAACAATACTCAAGTCATATCACAGCATGGCAGCTTAATGTCAGAGGAAGGTCTGAAGCAATGCACACGTAGGGAAATGACAAATCTGGACACATGAGATCAAATGATGTTTCTGAATGAGCTTATATTCTAAAATACAAGGCGAACAACACAACACAACCTTGGAAACATCCACTCACCATCAGCCATTGATAGGGTCATAGTGAATTAATAAATGACTATTACATAGATTTTTAGTTCGAGCCCTTCAGTACAAAAACTCACCCAAAAAATTGTAAAATGTGTTCACAGCGTTAATCTGCAAATCTATATTGGCATTGCTCTCTGCTACTCATTCTATTGCAATGCCTTAATGGGAAGTAAAGGGAATACAAAACACATGACAAGAAGTGTTACATATAAAATTTGATTTAAAATTATCATTTTGATTAATTTTTAAATTTAGATAATTATTAGCATTCTTCTGCCTATTTTTGGGATAAAAATCAGTAATGTTTGGATGTTGTACCATATCTGAAATGTTAACAGAATCTTACCTAATCCGAGACACTGGCATACAGGGAGTGTTTTCAACATTCTTGGGTGGGAGTCTCCAGTGACCTTGACCTCTGGTAGAGACGCAGCACACAGTCCAACAATGCTTCCATTCAGCACCAACAGCATCTTTGACGGCTTCAGCCCAGCAGCATCACACACGTGGACTGCGAGGGCAGTCCAGGGCATGGTGTAGGGGACAAGAGACAGGAGGGACTGGCTGGGTTTGAGGGCGTTACAGAAGTAGGACAGGAGGGTCACGTTGCGATGGTCGGCTGCCATCCAGGTGATGAACTTTCTGAGAACCAAACATTTTGAGGGGAAACATGACAATAATGCCATAATCATATCCTGTCATAAATTACTGAAATAGGTCAAGAAACCTTTGGTTCAAAGCATGAGCAAGAGGGGGCCAAGACTAACACCTTGTCTCTGAATATATATATAATTTTGATAGAAACAAACAATTCTTGTTGAATTGAAAAGGAGCCCCAGTGAAATGAGAGATTCCTGAACCTGAGGACATCTAGACTTCTTCATTTAGGGCTTTAGCATTGAAAAAAATAATATAGTTCAGGAACTGTGAGACAGACTAGAGAGGGCCAAGTACCCAAGTCATCAACATACATAAACTGACCTACACTGGTTGACATGAGGTATCTGAGAAAAGGAGGGTGAAGTGCTGCTGCACATCCACACAACATTCACACAACACCCTATACATCCCCTACAATCAGTGAGTGAGTTTACGTTTTACGCCGCTTTTAGCAATATTCCAGCAATATCACGGCAGGGGACACCAGAAATGGGCTTCACACATTGTACCCATGTGGGGAATCGAACCCAGGTCTTTGGCGTGACGAGCCAACGCGTTAACCACTAGGCTACCCCACCGCCCCAACTACAATCAAGCAACTAACCACTAGGCAGTAGGTGTGACGATACCCCACGACACGATAGTTATCGTGATATCTTGGAACCGAATGCATATACAATCAGTCCCACTAGCAAGAAATTTTGACATAACAATATAATGAAAATTAACAATGTTAAGGTCAATCGATATTATCAAAAAAGTATCGATATATTTATCGCCAGATAAAGTATCACGATTATCGATACTACGACATATCGTCACAGCTCTGGCCATCAGCCCTAATGACAAGGGTATCTGACAACCCTAAGAGAGAGTACGTATGGTTTTACGCCACTTCTTGCAATATCAAGGCGGGGGACACCAGAAATGGGCTTCACACATTGTACCCATGAGGTGATTCCAACCCAGGTCTTTGGTGTGACAGACAAATGCTTAACCACTAGGCTACTTCTCCACCCAGTCTCCCTAACACCTCATGACTGATATAAAGTCATTATTGTAGAATCTCCAGAACACATTATGTGCCATGTTTTTACAATCATACAAGAAATATCAGCCATGATACTGAATCAATGATATGTCTAAACATATAAAAAGCATGTTATTTCTACAACAGCCAGTCAAATGCAAATATACTGAATGTGAAAGGGTAGGGATATTTAATTCTGAGGGAGATATTTTATGAAATGTGCATTCAGTGTTTAGTACAAAATACATACAAAAGTATTGTGATCTGTAACGTTTTTGTTCAGTACCGGTACATATAACATTATTGGTTCAGTAGGAATATTGCAATTCATGCACATCAGACATCTGATTGTAAAACACTCACTCATGCATCTTCATGACTGGCGTCTGCACAACACACAGCTCATGCCCGTCTGCTACCAGGTCCTGCTGCTATAAAACAAAGCATCACATCTGAGGTATATACATGTAGTTTCCATTGGTTCAGTAAATACATGTCCAATTATCATCATCGATGTTCCACAATTGGCATCAAGATATTGGCATTGTATTGTTATATATGAACAAAACAATCAAATGTTTCAACAACTTATTGTCTTAAGTGTATTGTCTTCAACACCTCTATACATCATATCCACACAGAAACATAAAGGTGCTAAGAGTATTTAAATATGTGTGCCTTAGCAAATACTTTCAGTGTCTCTTGCGCTAAAATGTCATTGTGCAAGTGCTGAGGTGAAGTGTGGCTTTGAGATGATGCAGCTGAGGATTGGCCAGTGACCATCCGCTCTCACAACAGGCTCTATACATTGTTCCACAGAGGCGTGAATGTGCTTGTAAGTCCACATGATGTTAGATGGTACACTTCACACTCACCATGTCGTCTGCGGCCTGTGTGTTATACAGCCAGCCCTGCTCCGCCATCTTGAACTGTGGTGTGACAGGAGGGAAGTTGTCCAGGAGCTTGTACGTGTCCATCTGGACCACGGTGTCCGGGTTGGTAATGCGGAGTATGTCCACCAGCAGCTTCAGCCCAATACCTGACAAGACACGCAACGTACAAACTGCAAATACATTCTGACATCCACAAAATATTAAGCCCCACCCCACGTCCCCCGACAAAACAAGAAAACAAACATCTTTGATCATCCAGTGCTGTGTACCAGGTCAAATTTTGACAGTGAGTGAATGATCTCTGTCTATCTGCTCATGAGTTACAAAATTACCTTTGTTCCAGCCCATGGTGTTGATGATAAGAGGGTTGTCTCCCTTGTGTGCAGCAAACACAAACTCCACACATTTCACGTACATCGACACATTAGCAGCTGCTGACACAGCTCCAAAGTAACACATTCTGCAAAACAGACACATACTTCCCACAATTAAAACAGTTATTGTCAACATGATTAAACAACCCCCTCCCCTCCATCAAAAAGGCATTTTTAAGCCATAGTATTGCCTGTCAATGTTTTACAAAATCCTTTGTGACTTTTTTGGTTTTTGTAATAAAAAGCTAAAATAAAATATTTCATTAAAAATTTATATAGTCCACGACGGAAAAATAGCTTCCGTAAATGACCAGTAACTGAGTTTGTGTCAGAGCAGTTCCCCAAACCAAAGGTCTGAAAAGTCCCAAAATGTATGAGCATCCCAAACATTCATTGTGCAATAAAGGCATCCAGGTAGAAAGAGTGAGTGAGTGAGTGAGTTGGGTTTAAAGGTCACATAAACCCTAGGGGGTACAAATACATAAATCACTAACTGGCATCGTTATAAATGAAACCCCGTCATTAAAACTACTCATTTCGACCTTTAATTGACTTAAATCGACCTTTTTGACAACAGTGCACAATTCTCACCCGAACGAAATTTCAACCAATCAGAGCGGCGCGTCTCTGTGACGTCATATGAGGAATAGCTTTGAGGGCCGATGCAGAATTCATCTACATTTTAGGGGGTAAATTATCTTGTTTACAGGTTTGTATAAACCTGAAATCGTGACAATTGTTGTGGAAAATGAAAGCTATATGTTCTCACAATCTACTGTCATTTAATTTTGTCTCCTGCTTTGCCTAGTTTCCGAGTTACAACTTGTTTTCATAGACGATTCTGTCAAAATCGATTGGTGTCGTTAGGCCCTATTTGTATAATGACTGATCCAAATTGATCCCATTTCTGTGTTTTTTTACCTCGATATTTAATCATGTCATGTAAAAATCTGTTTGTATTCTCAAAACAGTGTCGGCCCATAAGTTTTCACATGCAATACATCAATTAATACTCCCTTGTTGTAACCCGTGTTAGGTGGTATAAACCTACACATGTTATTTGTCATTCACTTGATGGTCAGTTAATGAATTTATAACAGGTATAATTAGTGGTAACACACTTAGATTACCCGACAAAGGTTCCCATTTGGCATTTCTTGTGTCTGGAGTAAATATTCAACATTATAAACATCGATCAAAGGATTAACCGATAACACGCTGATTGATTAATTACTTTTATCTTACACAGCGGAATTGTCAAAAGGTAGTGTTTATGTATGTAGATTTACTAATCTATACTGAATACACTCTGTCGTGTCGGTGTCTGCGTAAAAACAACGTGCTTCGTTCAAAGGATTAACCGCAATACATTGATTGATTGCCCATTATTGGCTAACTAAATTACGGTTTTTAAAGAAAGGCGGACATTATGCAATTAGTTGCCAGGTGTGCTATCTTGGGTGACCAATGAGACTATACACCAATACCTGAAAAGATTGATCACTTTTTCGTATATTAAACTGTTAAAAGACACATCATTTGGAACAGTTTTGTGGATATTGATGGATACATTCCTCGAACAAGGTAATGGCCTGATATTGTTCCTATAACTTTAATCTGTTTTAATTTTAATATTTGCATTTTGTTTTTATTCATTTGTCGTAGCATTCAACAGAATCATTGTTTTCGCCGTGAAGTGTAATGATACAGACAACATACACTAGGTAGTGTGTGCGGATTATGATTCACATTGGCAAACTATAAAATGTCTAGATATTACAGTTCTGTTATAAATTCACTATAAGTTTCAGCAGATCGTCTGCTTTATATTTAGTTTCAAAATGCATACAAGTATGATAACAAACTAATTAGGATTATAAGACCAAATATAAAGACGCACATTGACTAGTATCTACATACTGGTGAGTGGACATTAACCATGTGAATGTAGCAAGAAATTTATCGCGCAATATTGTAACTTCGACCCCCACCTCGCTTCCGTGGAAGAAATCGTTATGTTATAAGTTGTGTCATGCAAAATCCGTTTGGTTATGATTCCAATACATATTTAACTACGAGTAGAAAGTAGTTTTGATTTTCTAACTTGATGAAAACAAACTATAATCTCATTAATTCTAACAGACTTTACGATTTTTCAAAATGGCGTGACCTGTCGGGAACATGCGCCAGTCTGAGGATAAATGCTATTTAGGTTTGTTTTCACCGAGTTACAAAATCAAAACTACTTTCTACTAGTAGTAAAATATTTATTTTATTGATGGCCAATAGGATTTTGCATGACATAGCGTATAACATATCAATTTCTCTCCTGGCAGCGAGGTGGGTGTCAATATAATACTACTTACAATATTATTGTTACTTCGACCACAACCTCACTTCCGAGGAAGAAATCGTTATGTTACAAGTTGTGTCATGGAAAATCTTTATGGTCATCAATCATATACATATTTTACTACAACTAGTAAGTAGTTTTGATTCTTTAACTTCCGTGAAGCGATCTGAACACAAGTAAGATATCGTTTCAGGCTTCCACAACGCTCTTCGCACTCACAAACATAACCCATTTAGCACGAACTGCAGGGGTCCTGTGGAAATCTGTGCATGGTGACACCATCGCCCGACCCCTAGGCAATTGACGACAAAGCAACGATTCGGCATGTCGTCGTTGATGTCGAGAAATCATCAAAATGATGAGCATGCTACACACTTTCTATACAACTAACTGAAAATCGTTCCTCATATGACGTCACTCCAGTGCTCTGGCGACAGAGTTACGTAACCTGTCTGTGGTTTCGTTGGCGGGCGAGAGGGAAGCAGGCGACTTTTTGGCCACTTTTAATCGCTCGGTATTAATAAACCACAAGTTTTTAAAGAATAAATTTGGTGTTCCGCATATGACTAACCACAAATCTTTCATATGTAATGGTTAAAAGAGTAACCAAAAACAAAGTTTAGTGGTTCTTTAATGTCGCTTTTAGCAATATTTCAGTAGGAAACGCCAGAAATGGTTTTCACACATTGTACCCATGTGGGAATCAAACCCTGGTCTTAGGTGTGAGATGCAAACACTTTAACCACTGTTATGTTATCCCTAAAAAGAATTCAAGCTCTGCATGTATTATGTATAATGTCAAATATGTACTCCAATTTGGTTGCCTCTCATGACCAGCTTAGCAGACTAAAAAAAATTAATCCCCACTAATGGGCTATATAGAGACATCTTACAATTTCATTTTCATTATCATCCAATATTCATCAGCCTGCTGACACACATCTCCAATATTCAGGATTTGATTATTCAACACACACTCACCTTTCTGCCTTTCTAACATGGGTGAACGGTGGACCTGAAAATACATTTCTTATTATCTTTTGAAAGAAAAGAACATCGTCATAATTTGTCTGATCATGCTCACTTACACAAAAGCAGTACAAATGCAACTGCACAATAAAGCTGTCAAGTAATAACAGTTAATTATTCAGTTTATTGAAGAAAATCTGTTCACTAAAAAGTTCAATATATTTGTTTTATAAGTATTTTGAAAGAGCTGGTGTACCATGACAGCATGTGAAACAGGTCCTATGAATTACATTATTAAAACTACATATAACAGATTGTTGACAACCATGCTTAGGCTGAAAACATATTTGGTCACACTCTGCAATACTGCAGCTGTCTGGCCTGTAAATATTGAAGTCTAGACAAGACAATCAAGTGATCTCCTACTTCACGATCAACCAAGTCACCAAGCATGACCAAGCATGACCTCCAGATGACCAGAAAATGCTAGGGTCCATTTTTAACATGGAATTCCTGAGGCTAAATCATCTGTTTTAACTGTTTTTACTAACTGCATTCAGAAAGGGGTTTAACCAAGGTGAGAACTGCCCCGGAAGGGTCACCAAATAACATTCTATTTCTAATGTGAGCCATTGTTTGACACAGAAATCATTATAATCTGTTGATTCTTGAAATAGCCCCAATGATCCAACTTCTGGAATCAAACAGAATGATTCTGAAGATCTCTCCAATTTCTTAAACAATGTTATGCATGATATGATCTTACCTATAATTTTGCTAAATGGTTGAGGGTTTTTAACGCTGATGTGACAATACTTAATACATGGCAGTTTCTGCTGTAACGAAAGTCATATTGTCCTTGACACTTACCAAGCACTGGCTCTGTCACATTATGTAAGGAAGTGCAGCCAGGGGGAGAGAACTCTGTTTGGCCAATGTCCAGCTCCAAGTATGATACACCTTTACACCTGAAATCACAGTGAGTGAGTGAGAGTGAGTGAGTGAGTGAGTGAGTGAGTGAGTGAGTGAGTGAGTGAGTGAGTGAGTGAGTGAGTGAGTGAGTGAGTGAGTGAGTGAGTGAGTGAGTGAGTGGTTTAACAGTATACATAGGCGGATCCAGGAATTTTTTAACCCTTCCCCTTGACATTAACCTTAACTTCAATGTGTGGTCATTTTCAAAAGGGGGGTGGGGGGTCGGAAACACACACATGCACACACACACACACACACACCCAAACACAATGGATCCGCTAATGGTATAGCATGTATTGACATGCATAGTTTTATCACTTTAACGTCAAATACCTTCAGAATAACAAGAAACTACCATCTTGTCTAATTGCATAATGAAAACCATTCGCTCACCAGGCAGATGCTCTATCCACTGGACCCATAGCAAGGTGGGTTTAGGGGTTTTTTTCAAAACAAACCATATCAACATAGTATGGGCCATGCAGAGCCCTAGGTTATGCATGTTGTTGACATTTAGTGAAACCCACTGAAACTGTCATGGAGGTAACTATGGAACATAATTCTGAGATGTATTTATTTCAACCACTGACAAGCATGTCTATTTAGAATCAAGGGACACAGCTCTGCCCCACAAGTTCCATTATCTTTCAAGCAACATGTCAAAACCATTACACCAGCCATCTAAATTTGCTCAAGGGATACACTCCAAGTGAAACTCACAATCCCTTCATGAATGTCCCTGATTACACAGTAATTTTTCATTTACATTACTTACACATTGAGTGCAGAGTTGATGAGGTGTCGATTCAGAGTGGATTTGCCACTGTTCTTGCCTCCACACGTCAAAATCACAGGTGCCCGACCCTCACCTAGGGTATCAAATCTTACATATCAAGTTATATTAAGCTAGTGGTCAAAACTCAGATCAATTAGGTGAAGCTTTGATTTGATGACTTACCGTATGCACATCAGAAAATATATCACAATTAGGTCTGTCGGTGAGTGTGATTGAGTGAGCATGGTTTAATGCCACTTTTAGCTATATTCCAGCAATATCAAGGGGGGGGATACACAAATAGGCTTCACACATTGTACACATGTGAGGAATCAAGCCTGCATGACGAGCAAATGCTTTAACTGTCAAGCTACCCTACTGCCCCATGTCTGTCAGAGAAACTTCAGATGCAATGCAAACAACTCTCAGCAGTGTATGAAATAACCCCAAAACCCAGCCAGACATCAGGGCTGGTAGCTTCAAAATGTTACCAGCCCAAAATTGAATGAACCAGACCAGACACCAAGAATTCACTCAGATGTATGGAACATCTAAAATTTGCACCAGGCCGTCGGGCTGGCTAGCTGTAAATTTAGACCGTCCGACAGAAATCTAGCCCGTCTTGGGCGGTCGGACGGGCCTTATTTCATACACTGCTCTCAGATATAATAGAACATTAAATTAACTCATTACCAGACTTATCTCCCCTTCCGATCATCACCTCCCAAAGGTCAAGGATCTGCTTGATGTCCTTGGACAGCCTCAGCCAAGGCCTCATCACACACTCTCTAGGAAATAGTCCCAATCCCAGAGGAAGTAGTTCCATGTTATGGGGTAGTGGTTCCTCAGTCCTGATGGTAAACAGGCCAGTGTATGGCGACATTGTTGAAATGTAATTGTGTGCTTCAGAATCCAAGGGACGCACAACAAAGGCGACACTTTGCACATCTTGGAATATTTCCAACTCATCTTCCATCTCTTGCACAGACTTGGTTGATGCAAATAAAACAGAGATTTTTCAATGACTTGTTTAAAATCAACTGTTTTGACTGTTTTTAACACTTTATAACTATTGCTGATGGGGGAGTAAACTTTGTATGAACTATCTGGTTGAAATCTGTGTCCCATGATAGTTATCTCCCCTGTTACCATGGTGATTGATGCTTTGCCCTGGATGCAGAGTTCTTGTGGGTGACCAAGTACTACGAGTGTCGCCTCCTGTTTGGGTAATGGAACAGAAACACATCTGCAAAAAACAAACAAACAAACATATAAATATCACATTAACCAAAACACTTTTCATCATTCAAATTACTTACTCTTATTTCTGTATATCATTAATCAATTTCAGCTTTCTCAAAATATCCAGAGTATCATATCCCCTTTCTGTTATGACAAAGACTCTGGAAACTTGGCAGCAGAGCTTTCTGTGAGTCTTGTTCAAAAGAAGCATTTGGTTCTTGTTGTTGTTTTTCATAGTCACTGGCACAAGAATTCTGTGGTAAAATAGGATCATGAGAGATGAAGAGGGCGACCTCACTTCCTAGACAAACTTGATGGTGAATAGGTTCAAAGGTATTTATCATAAAAGAATGGGGACATATTTAGGACCGCGAAGGATAGATCAATGATAAAATAGACGGTATGTACACTGAGGAACAACTCACTTCAATTCTCCCTGCACAATTACTTCCCTTGATGACTGAACCACTCTCTTCTCTGCAGCTCCCGTGACTTCCCTGCCATCTTGTCCACCCTCCCCTCCAGCCTGGTCCCTGAGCTCAGTAGCCTGTACACTGACCACATGCTTCTTATCTTCACCTTTCAGCCTTGTGAGACTCTCTGCACAGGAATAGCCAGAGTCATTCAGTAATGGATCTGTGTTGTCAGCTGGGCCTTGCTCATGGAACTGGAAGTCTGATGACCCAAATCCAAAGGTACCACATTTATCAAATTCAGTCTGGTCCTGACCGAAAACTCGGAACAAAGTCTCCTGCTGTTCTATAGATTCTAAGATATCTTCATCACTGTCATCATCATTTGAATTTTCCGACTTGGATTCCATGTCAGAGCTCTCCATCTTGTCTTTTTCATCACCATAGTAACGGTTAAAGGCATCATAGGATAGCTCATCATCTGACTCTGAAAGTTCCTTTAGCTTCTTACGTCTTTCCTCAATCTGTTCCTTATTCAGATCAGTCTCTTTCAGCAGACTTCTGTTGTAACTTTTCTTCACAAAATCAGATTCAAATTTTGGCATATTTCTTTGGTTTCTCCCTTCTTCCTGGTGTATATACGATCTCTGAAAGCAGCAGCATTTTCACCATGGTTACCTTTTACCATATCTCTATCCATACCATCATATTTTCTTTTTCCAGTCCTCCTTTTCCCAGCATTTTCTGTCCCTTTCCTATTCTTGTTCAAATCAGTTTTTGGTGTTGTTTCAGAACCAGCAGGTGCTCCCTCAAGGATCATGATGCTTTCATTGTTTGCAGCTGTGATGAATTCTGTATCACAAGTCTTCCTGCTGGGTCCACCTTCTGACTCTGAAACCTTGTCTGTACTCTGTACAGTGTCTGGATGTCCCCTAGTATTGTCCTGTACAAAGCCTGGAGAAGATACTCGTAGACCGCTGTTATCCGCATCAGGAAGATTGATCACAGTAACACTTTCTGAATGAGTTACATCCATTAGTGTAGTCTTGTCTTTTGGTCCACTTATCTTCTTTGTTTTTTTCTTCTCAACTTTCGAAACTTTCTTGGATTTTGTTTTTTTCTGTTTGGCTTTACTCGTTTTCTCCTTATGGATCATGAATGCTGAGACTTTCCTTGCCATTATTCAACCAATGAAGTTCCAATATCTGTTTGTTTCCTGAAGAAAGAAGTTAAATTCATTTCAAGATATTCGGTGTTCTGTAGTTAAAGTATTAAACTTTCTTGATGATAGATATTTATAAAATCTGGTGATTTAATCACGTTAATCTACATGGAAAGTTGAGAAAAGGAGTGTGTGTGCCTTCTATTGCAGCGTTTTGGTACTTAGCTTTGCCTCTGTGCTCCATTTACTTTGCAGTCTCAGGACTTGGGCATTCTTTCAATGGCCTAATCACAACTATTTTTCCCAATCTTAGCTTAACATGTTGAATGGTCAATAATAGCATGGGTACTATAGATATATACCCCAGGTGTATTTCAGTTCATAGAAATGTTCCCTAGTAAACATCAAAATACAGAAAAATACCTGGTACCCTATACAGCATATAAGTCTGTACTCCTAAACCTGAAACCAGTGTAGTTTTGGCAGGTTACATGTTCATGGTGGATAATGCTGTGCCCTGTTGAATATGAATGTATTTTACAGACATCACTAAATACGTTTGGTTTTACATAGCACACTGGTTAGTGGGTAAGTGAGGCTGAAGGGGTTGTTGTCGGCACAGGTACTACAGATATGTACCCCAGGTACGTTTCTGTATACAGAAACGTACCTTGGCCATAATGAGAATACAGAAACGTAACCTAGGACGATTCCATTCCCATTGTGTCGTATTCTTGACCAAAAATGTCATACTGTTGTATTAGATACATTTGATTGCGTTATGTAAGTAATGAGAATACAGAGTAACGGATATTTCACAATGCACATGAATACCACTCGGAATCAGTTGAATGGGAACAACTACATACGGTTTCAGTTTTGGATTGAGGAATATGGACTCGTCCGCCTTATAGGGTACCGGGTACGTTTCTGTATTTTGACTTTGTTTAGGGTACATATCTGTATACAGAAACGTACCTGCATCGGGTACGTATCTGTAGTACCTGTGCCGACAACGACCACTTCAGCGTAAGTCAGTCTGGTTTTAAACCACGTTCAGCAATATTCCAGCAACATCGCGGCTCGGTACACCAGAAATGGTCTTCATACGTTGTACCCATGTGGGGAATCGAACCCAGACCTTCGGCGTGACAACTAGGCTACCCAATTAACCGCCACTATTCAAGGTTAGAGAGCTTGATTCTAGAGCGTGAATGTATCGCTGCGGAAATGCAAATTAACCATAACCTCCACATTCGTCCTGTTTACGCTGCTTTGAGTGTCATTTATGAATGACATGACAACACGTCGAATGAAATTACACATTTTCAAAGCAATGTTTGGTGATCGAAAACTGAACTTTGCAGGGAACATCACGCCAAACAATAAATTACTTAGTCTGCCCTTTCATTGATGTTACCTACAGGGCGAACCCAGATACTGTACAGCTACTGGAAAGTTCCAAACGAGGAATGGAAAGTAGCAAGGAGACCAGCAGACGTATATTCTTTTCCTGGGATCCCTGAATTTGACTTGCACGTGTTTTTGTTTACAGGAAGTTAGCAGATGATTATTTGCGCATGCGTAATAAGTTGTTTCCGATATTACAAGGAAGTCTCGTGATGTAAATAGGAAGGAAGATTTTCCTTTTGGAAAAGGTTACAACTCTTAATAGCTGGTTTTATGCCCATTTTGTTTTCACTCTTCCAAAACCTTCATGAACGATTTAATTAAGATTGTTTGGTGTATGCTATCTTACATAAAACGGGCTGCTCGGAAAATTTATATTGACCACATATTCTTTTTGAAGTTCCCATGTTTACCATTGGTGCCAGATATGCGCATCAAAAGCATATCTACAGTGTGATAAGATATTTAAAACCGATGAAGCGGACAAAGTGATTTGTACATGAAATCAAAATTCATTCAATAGAAGAAATCGACTGCATTTGTTTATATTGTCTCTCACTTTCAGGAAGTCTAGTTTGAACAGAAGTCAATTTTGCCATTTTCTTTCACATGTGTGTATATGTTTAATGTGTTGCAGTGTTCTGTCAGTCATAACGTCAGATGACTTCCCATTAAACAGTTACATTAATGTCTTAATGATGTAACATTGTGAAACAATACAGCATGTCAGGTTCATCCATATAGTGCTAACTGGTTCCAGCTGTGGTTCCTTCTCTGATCTACAATCCTTAGGGTTAGTTGTGTCAGGGTAGGCTGAACCTATCTCTTTTCTGACCTTGGATCTTTCATTAGACTAAGCATTATGGTCATATGTGTTAGATACTGCATGCCAGCCAAACAACCCTCGCAATTTTCAGAGCTGGGTACTGCTTGCAGATCAAACAGCACTTGAGGTGTAAATGTTAGTGAAAAATGTCTTACAGCTAGCGCTTTTCTTTCTGGGTCTTTTTTCAAATCTTTCTGGACTTGATATTATATTTATGCCTCAAAATCGTAGTGAAAAATGTGTTATCAGAGGTGCTTATCTCTGTGTTCTTTGAAATTATTCAGGACTTGATATTATGTTTTTACAGAGTTCACGTCAGAGAGAATGAGCGAGGTCACTGGGGACTCAGACGTGGCAACCTCAGCAACTCATTCCAAGTCGGACACACATCTTCAGAATGGTGTAGTGAAAGGACATGAGAAACAGTTAAGTCAAGCTAATGGCCAAGCAACTGTGTACACAAATGGTCATGATGTCAGCCCAGAGGAGAAAGGCAAGGAGAAAGAGAAAACAAGAGCTCCTTTGTTAAGTCAGGGCAGCAGTTATAAGTCTGAGGACACTCCAACAAATGCTGACACAACCATTTTATCAGCTTTGAGTGAAAATGCCAAAAATGTCCGACGGGAGAAGAAACCGAGTGATGGAGATAGTGCCGATTATGACACTCAGTCTGACTCCATTGAAACTTTGGAGGAAGAGAGCTCACACGAGGACACAGTTAATGACTTAAGTGACTCCCAGCGCCAGATGTCACTTACCAACAATGATGAAGAGTCGGATGAAGTTTCAGAAACTGATATAAGGGAAACCCAAGATGATTATCTTACCCTTAATGGTGTGTTGCGTCCAGATAGTCTTTCATTGCCGAGACCACTGCAGCAGGTGGAGCGCGGCCGAAGCAGAAGCGACGTTCAGATCAGATCGGTCAGCTGTGACCCTAGGGGTCAGTCAGAGCGAGGAAGGACACAAAGTGAAATTATTGACATTAACTCAGTGCTGAGGCGGACAGACGGTTTTGGTTCGGATGAGTACCTGTCCAAGAGTCTGCCTCAGGGAACTATCATGAGAAAGGGTGAGATGATAGAGTTCGTGGCAGAAGATCTTCAGGAAAAAATCCGAAGAAGTAGTCCGTTGTCTAGAACAGGTATGTCATCGTTATGTAGATTGAGGATACCTTGCTAATCCAGACCCTCTTTGTAATATTACCTTGGATATATTACTTTACAGAGGTTTAAATTGGAGGCAAGGTATTCAGCACGTTCCAGATGTATTTGGTATAAGAAGTTTTACTTTGTTCCCAATTTATCCAGATATGCCAACCCATACGATTTTATTGTATTCCATACGAAAATACAACTAAAAATACCTGACTACGATAGCAGTAAAAAAATATGAAGTTTTTAAAAAATACATTAAATTGAATTATCAATAGCATATGTACCATGCACAATAAATTGCAACCACATTTTATTCAGTATCCAGCAATATGTTTTTACTACTGATTTAGGTGAGTACAATGTTAATAACAAGTTCTTAGAATACATATCTATATATTTTGTATTAAATATGAAAATGCTTTGGAAAGGTTAATACTAATTTTTCCCAGAAAATACTAATTTTTGCATCAGTTTATGTCCAAAATACTAATTTAAATTAGGATTGGCATCTCTGTTTATCTTATATCCTAAAAATAAACTAGTAGAAGACCTAATTTAATAGAGAGTTGCAAGGATATCTCTGTTTATCTACAAATAAAGTAATATCCTTAAAAATAAAGGAGTAGAAGATAGGAAAGCGGAGAAATATTTAATGAAGAAATTTACAAGGATATCTGCCTAAAGATATTTGGAACAGACCATGGCTTTATGCAAATTAGTTTTAACGATATTGTATTACAAAAGGACAAAATGCCCAATTTGAAATTAAGATTCATTATAAAATGATAGCTGACATAAAAATAAGAATTTTAGCCAAAAGTTGATTTTAGGATGTTACCATTCAGTCTAATGTCACTAAAAGAAACAGATAGGAGGGTCAGCCTTCAAAAGCAAAACCAGGGGTCGGGCCTCCGTGGGATAGAGATATCAGCTAAGATAAGATAATCCTTTAGAGCAATTATACTGGGGAGGTACACGGCACGTCATAACAATTTACGCATAATATCCAGTCCTGTCGATCTTTCGGGTGGTCATGCCACCTATATACTAAAGATTGTCACACTCTCGTCAAGACAACATAAATATGACAACGTAAGATTTCAGTTGGTCCCATGAAAAAGCACAAAATATCTTTGAGATGACCCCTTGTGCCTGTAGGTGAGCGGCACATAATGGGTGAGTCGAGTCGGAGTAGAGTGTGAGTCATATAATGTGTCTGAGTGTATTCTAATGTTCATAGCTGATCTATTATTTTCTGCAGCATGGTATTTTTCTAAGTTTTGGAGTAAACATGCTTTTCTGGATATCGATACGTGATCCCACTGAACTTCCAGTTAGGCTGAAGTGGGTTATTTCGAATATGCTATTTGCAATTGTGTAAATTTTAGGGATTCAGAGTAACAGCCTAAAAACAGTTTTTTTCTATTTCCGACAGTACTTTAGTTATTGTGTCCCTGCACTTATACTTTGAAATAACATTTTGAGTTGTGTGCCTTGCATTGTAAAGATCAGCTGGCGGTGGAGTATGTGCAATAGTAACAAAGAACACAATCAACTGTAAATTTGTGAAAAATTGAAACACTCACCACAGATGTGTGTTTTAACAAGCATGCCAAACAAACTACCTTTGGTCATTTAATAGTATTTTAGCAGTTGTTACATCAGTAATGTAAAGTAGAAGTGATCCTCTAGTCTAGAAGTGAGGAAATTTCTACTGACATTGGCTGTTGACATAAAATCTCCTGGATACATATAAAATACAACCTCTCTTGCTCACAAAATACTGTTTCTTTGATAGTTCAGTGGATCAAAACCTTTGTATATGTAGCCTAGTTTTTTAAACACTAACCTAAAAAGGCAGTGATACATGACAAAGCTTTAAGTATCTCTTTTTAATGTACATTAAACTAGTAAAAGACATATCCTATGGTTCATGGAAAGTGTGTTTGAGATTTATAAACATATATGGGTGTCATCCTTTTATTCTTAATGTTTCTTAAAATTGTAGAAAGCCTGCAAACTCAGTTGCTAGTATCCATGTCCTTGACCTTCTAATTTAACTGAAGCAGGACTAAATGACCAAAGATTTTTAACATCCTTCTATTATGCTCCTTATGTAGATTTTTGATGGGTTAAAGGTCACAATTGTATTACATGAAATTTCCATGATGTGATCAACCGACAAATTCACATATCAAGTGTATTGAAACCAGTTGTTTTTCCACTGATCCACCATGGCAAGTGATGAAAGGGTGTTCATCTGACATGTCAAATTGTCATGGCTTCAGTAGTCTGCGTGCTGCAGAGGTCTTTTCTCACCATCTGTCATCACATTTGTTGGATACCATGAATATGATATTGGTTTTCTGTAAGGTAGCCCATTGATTTGTTATTCATTCTGGTATTTGCGTTTAGACAGTTCATAATGTACTTACAGTGTGAATTGTACCCTTATTAATTCATCAGAATCATGATTTGTTTTCAGGTTACTGTTTCTATTGTTTGAACATCCGTTGACGATATCAGTACCATATTGTCAAAGAAGCAATAACTTCACAGCATGTTCCTGATCTTATCTCATTAATTTGTCATGTTATATAGGCGTGAAAAGATAACGTCTTCTCATTATTGAATACCCGGTAGTTTCACATTGTTTCAGGTGTGACAGTTTTACTGTGACAAACTGGACAAATCTGACATCTTGTTGATAAGCAAACATTGTCCTTCCCTGCATACTAACTTGACAGCTTTTATTCCTAAATTAACACTATTATGATTATGGATGACAGTTTTCACTGAACCAACCTGTTTGTCACCATGCCAACAGACTCAAGTTGCTACAGTAGCAGACGGTCCAGTTTACGGAGTGTATCCAGTTCTACATCTGTGTCCACTTCAATGGCCACTTCCACAGCATCAGGAATGTCCCGGTCACCCAGCAGTCTGTTCCAGCAGAGTCCAGATGACATTCCCCCAATTGACCCTCAAGCTGTCCTTGAACTTGAGAATCAGGCCCATCTTGTTGCGGATAGCGTTGACCTGATGATGGGAAACTTGAAAGCAAATCTCCACAAGGTCAGTCTTTAGATTTGAATGGATATTTTCTATCATCCAAAACAAGCATCCACCGAAGATATCTCTTTGCTGCAATTAAGCAATATCTCCTAGTTTGAGATACTGCTGTGCAGTGAAATTGCATCACATTGCCTTGCAGATCATAGTGATGAGACCAATTTCAGGATGATTTAATCAAAAGACATCACTAAATCTCTTTCAATAAAGCTGGTCAAGACACAATTTATTACTGTATGTAAATTGAAAAATGTGGAAGAAAGATTTGTCAGCTCTTTTGTCATTTTTGTTGGCAGTCTGTGTGGCTGAACATTTTCTAGTCCTAGAAGTCTGTTCATCCTGACAATGTGTAACATAGGTCAGGATAATAATAATTATTACGATTTCAGTTATGGTTAATCCTATTTCAGATGTCGTCAATCACAATTGGCTGTCTTGATGCATACCGGAAATCGGTGGACGTCACGTGTGAGTCAGTAGATGGGAGTATTAAGGTAAGATTGGTCTTACTTCTTGTGTGAGTTTGATAGAACTGTGATAATTGCCTCTGACAGCTTTGGGCAATCATGTGTTAATGTGACTGCCCAGGTAACCAGTATTGACCACACAAGGAATGCCTCTATTTTCAGGGTCAGTGGTGTACTATTGGCTGCCTGCACATTGAAATTTTTATATCTGAATATTTTAGAATCTGCATAGTTCTCATAAAGAGATAGGTTTGTTTTCCTTTAAAAGACAACAAAGTGACAAGTAATCACTTCAGAACCAAATTACCATATTTATGATTACTGTAGTTAGTGTGCATATGTTATACTGGTTGTGTTTCATATGTTATATGTTGTAGTATGCTGGCATGCTAATGCTATGGACAGAAATGGGTTGCTTGCAAGAGGGGCACTTACATTTAGATCAGTTCCATTTGTTTGTTGAGATACAGTTTTGTGACAGGTAGAGTTTGAATGGTGTGTCTGTAAATAATGTGTTGTTTGTTTCAGTCGATGAACGCGCTCATGGCCAAGTGTGAGGAACTCAGTAAAAACATGCAGCCAGTCTACAAGCTGGCAGAAAAAATGTATCCTTTCCATTGAAGATGTTCAGTGTCTGCCTGCTCCACACAGCGTGCACAATAGCCACTGGCCCACTAGCCAGTGGCTAGTAAAAATCCAGTTGGGCCACTAAATCTCCACAGTCACTGGCCTGACTGGCTAGTGAATTTTCATGGGGTCATTTTGTAAATATATCATTCTCTCCGACTTGTTATCTTTTAACTCACTTTTAAATCATGCAATATTATGGCCTGATAAAAATGTTCATCATATTAGCAGCTTAATGATGAAACCTGGGTCTTCATTCAAATTTCGGACTAGTGATTTTATATCGTGGGCTAGTAACTTTAAGGCATAGCTAGCCCAACTGGCTAGTAATATTTGGAAACTATTTTGCACACTGGCCCCACATGTTTATTTCAACTGTGGACATAGTTATTGTGATGAGTTTTTGGATACCTAGATGTTGAAGCATCAGGTCAGACCTAGGTTTGATTCTGAACATTTGCACATTTGTGTGAAGCCTCTTTCTGACGTCCCCTGCCATGAAGCTAAATCTTTTATGCTTGATTGTACTTGAGGTATATAAACTGAACTGGTTAATGGTAGGTTATTGTAAGTCTTGGATGCAAATACACAGCTATCTTGATCTCAGGTGGACTGTAAGTATGACATAGTAATCAGGGCTTTACATAGACTTTGAAAAATGGTTGTCATGGTGACTCACAGTAAATGTTTGGGGGAGTCATTTTAGAAATGTTCTAAATTCATGAAAATATTATGTGAACAAAATGATTATAATGATCAATTCTCAGTATTGCAGTTAACAGTCAGAACACTTGAATTGTTTAGGTATTTGGAGGAGTTATTTGGATTCACAGTACACTATGAGTGTCAACTCTGACTTGGTTGAAAATATGTTGGGAGTATTACAAACTGTTTGAGTCAGATATGCAGGAATTATGGTAAAGCAGTGATATTTCATGTGTTGAATGAGAGGGACGACCATTATTACACAACATTCATTCAACCAGTACAAGATCTGTGAGAGTCATATCTTCCTGTTTACCTTTGTGCCATGGAGGAAATATTTTAAATCTTGTTAATGTTTGTCATGTCAGACATTTTCCTTAACTCTCCCCCAGAAAAGAGATAAAGCGGCTTCTGGATCTGTTTGAAGCCCAGCTTGCCGACAAGACATGAAGACCACCACCGCCAGCAGTGACGTTGTCAGCTGCATGAAAGAATCAACCATTTTTCATGGCCTTCTTCTGGTTTCCCTGATTGACGTCAGCAGACATCATTAACACACATAATACACCTAAATTCCAGTAACTAGTAAAAGAGATGACAGTTGTAGTGAGACAGAATTAGAAATGATTCTAAGAGTTTGAAGTTTGAAGATATATTGATACTTAATTTGGTTGAAGATGTGTGTGTTCAGTTGCAGTGACCATGATGGCAAGGGAGGTAACTTCAGTTACATAGTTACCTCCCTTGGTTGTCAACATCCAAAGCCCTTATTTCCAAAAAAACCCAGTAGTATCAGCTCTCTCAGATTTCCCAGCTCTGAATTATCAGGTGAAGAAGGACTTAATTTGGTGTGCATATCCTCAGCCAACAAGTTAATTATGCCTTTGAAGGTCACTGAAACATAATTGGCTCTTTGATTCAGCAAATATATATTTAGTATGTGTATTTTATGGTGTGTAAACTTCAGGTGTATTCTACACTCTCTGTGATCAATGTAACCATAATAGCAAGGTTAAAACAGCTTATCAGGACATGAAAGTTGCAATCTTCATAATGAAACAGACATATATTCAGCTATGGTATCTCAGGTGTACATATGAATAGATGTCTGCGATTTACCTTAGCCAAACTACACTTCCAGGTCTTTTTGTGTATTGATTGTATCTGTGAAGAGCTTGTGCAGTGTACTTAATGGTAGGTTTGTTAAAACATGTTGAATGAGATTACACAGGTAGGATGGTGGCAGAGGGGAATTTGGAAATGGCTTCCATGCAAAAACATACAATTGGTTCTGAATTTGTACATCTTTTGTACATGTTACACGACATTAACTAAGAATATGCCCGCCCTCAACACTGATTCACAAAATATGTGAAGATGGTTTCTGTTATGAAATGCTATACTTTGACATGTGAATTACCCTGTGCTAGTATTGACTTCATCCATTCATGGTTTGCAAGACATTTGGTTATTTGGAAACTGGGAAGGGGTTTAACACTGCCCTGTGTGATAACAGGAGTCCTACTTACTGAACTTTGCCCTTACAATTCTGTACTTACCCCTCCAAAAGTAGCTTTTGTAGTGCTGGGAGACAAATTCTCAGCTTATCAAAGTGTTATCAAGGTTGCAGTGTTATCATGAACTCTGGCGGATAGCCCTGGAAGTGTAGAATTGTATGGTTTACTTGTGACGTCCACAGTGTCTAGGGCTGTTTCATGGAGGTACAATGTCAAGAGCTGCTTCACAGAGCCACATTGTCAAGAGCTGCTTCACAGTGCCACAAAGTCAAGAGCTGCTTCAGTGCCACAATGTCAAGAGCTGCTCCACAGTGCCACAATGTCAAGAGCTGCTTCACAGTGCCACAATGTCAAGAGCTGCTCCACAGTGCCACAATGTCAAGAGCTGCTTCACAGTGCCACAATGTCAAGAGCTGCTTCACAGTGCCACAATGTCAAGAGCTGCTTCAGTGCCACAAAGTCAAGAGCTTCTTCACAGAGCCACAATGTCAAGAGCTGCTTCACAGTGCCACAAAGTCAAGAGCTGCTTCACAGTTCTTAAAAGTCTATACATATATATTCAAATATGCAGGTCTTGGATAACTTACAGCTACTATGAATATTAATTACCCTAACACCAGACTATTCTTCTTATTGTTATTATTGGTAATAACTATACAGATATGTTTGTGAGTATTTCTGTGACACGTTAACACTTTCCCTTGATTAAATGTAGAAATATACTCGAGTTAAGACTTTTCCAAAAATCAAAACTCTTCCGTCATTTCAAAGATTATATAACAATCATTTGTAGACTTATTTGATGAGATGTACGATTATCATTATCCATGATTATCCAGAGTGTAATATCTCCAGTGCAGTTGGATTTATTTTCTATTCCTATTGATTACCTGGTTTTTTTTGTGCTGGGTTAAAAAAATATAGTGCTTAAACTAGTCCTACACTTGAATTAAAAATATATCTCAAGATTGAAAGGAACAATAAGAACTATACTTTACTCACATTGTGTGACGTCTCGAATACATATTGGGACATCTTGCATCATAAGGACTTCTCTCCAAGTTGTGGGGCGGGAGGGTAGCCTAGTGATTAAGGCGTTTGCTCATAACCTGGGTTCGATTCCCCACATGGATTCAATGTGTGAAGCCCCTTTCTGGTGTCCCCCTGCCATGATATTGCTGGAATATTGCTAAAAGCAGCATAAAACTAAACTCACTCACTCACTCACTCCATGTTGATATATAATGCACATGAACAGTTTTATGCGAATAGCAAGTAAATATAGATTATGTTTCCCTTGTATAAAAATGCTGTTTTGTGACACCACACATGAAAATGAAGCTATTTCTCCAGGGTATTTATAGTATGGTGATAAACTACCCTGGATTAAAGAGGATGGTATGTTATGGTTCTCCACAACCCTGTACATAGAAACTCAACAAATATCTCCATCATGCGATGACTAGGAGGGTGATAAGCACAATATTTCTGTATCATACATGTTATAATAATAATACTTCATAGCCAACATTCCATTTGTAACCTTTTCATCACATTGTACATAATTAAAAAAATGGATTTTCAAATCTGCTTTTAGTCTTTGAATCCGTTGACAGTAATTTTGTAATCATACCAGGGATTTATCTATACCTGCTGAGAGACCAATGCCTACAGAAATTGTCTGTAAAAATTCCTGTGTAAGTGTAAAAAGTTCTTATTTCATGTACATATAATTATAAATAATGTGATGGCTTGGTCAAGGTGACGTTATTTACTTTATTCAGCTGAAAATAAGACTAAAAGAGAGGAAGAGGCTCAATTTTACGTCGTTGTAGTGAATGCATGCAATGTTAAAATATCTCTGAAAAGAAGAAACTATAAATTTTACAAACTTCCAATTTTCTCAAATTGCCCGACCATGGCACTTAGCTTGGAACCCAGGATGAATTCCTCTATTATAGTATGTGAAGAATGTGATTTTTCAATTATAATGGAACTGTCGACTTCAGAATGAATTCACATGCAGTAATGTTTAATATGTTGAATGTCATATATTACATTATAAGTAAATTGCTTTTACCCATAAGCGAAATCTTGGCATTTATCGTGCTGCTAGTTATAAGCATTTACAGTCATTACATGTTATATATGTCAATTATGAATTCATTTCATACTCTATCTAAAGCTATGCTAATTTCTTTGTCTTAAGCATAGTATTTAAAATATGCCCAAGTACTGTTACTTGTCATGAGTTGAAAAGTTTGGATTGGATGATCAGATTCAGTGTCTTGGTTCACGTGTCAGATCTTGGGAAGCCATTGGACAGTGCTCACATCAACAGCTTAGTTTTCTGACCTTGACTGTATTATTTCAGGCTGCTGTGATATAGTTTGAACGTTGCTGACTGCAGCTGACCAATGATTATGCAGATTTGTCAGTGTTTATCGATGATATAGGAATGATTTGTATGTGAGAGAGAAGACTATCTTTAACAGCAACAGCCAAGTGATGGTGATTCAATCAACTATCAGTTCTGTTTCGGCATCAGGTAGTCAGACTTGCTGATTTGGTTGAAGCATGCCATATCATAATGGCAAAAACTGATGCTCATGATGTCAGTCACTGGATTGTTTAGTCAAGACTTGTTTACAGCTTGCCGTCATATAGCTAAGTGCAGCATTGAACAAACAAGCAAATGTTTTATCTGACATGTGACAACTGAAATACTGTTCAATATGAAGCCCAACTGCTTTACCCATTGAGCCAACCTACAGGTGGTTTGAATGCATGACCAAGTTGGTGTTCTTTTGTATCTAAAGGTCTTCAGTGTGATGTCACAACTGCTTTACCTACTGAGCCCACCAACAGGAAGTGTTCAGACTACGTCACCATGCTGTTGGGGTTCCATGATCCTCAAGCTCATGCTTTCAACCACTGGTTTCGCTAGTCCAGACTTGAACACCGACTGCAGTAATCCAGTTGCTAAGAGCTAATGCAATTGCCTAGTCATATTTTAAGTGCTTGAAAGTAGACTCAAATATAACCTTAAATGTTATGATTATGTACATTTTTATTTATGTATATAATCTTTCACTTTGTAAATTAATTTGGTTATTTATCATTTCATATTGTATCAGCAGTGATGGTAATTAGTATGTCTTCAGTCCCGTGTCTTTTTATACTTAGTTTAACAAGATTCAAAATGGTCTATGTGCACACGATACTCATGCATTGATTGAGGCAAGTCAGTTAATGTATAGATATTAATCACCTTAAGATCAATTTGTCAAACAGACCAGGGTGCCATTGTACAAAGCAACCGTAGCGCTACGCCAGTCGTAAGTCTATGTTAAGGTTTGGGAGTTACGATCACCTTAGTGCTACGCCAGTCATAAGTCTATGTTAAGGTTTGGGAGTTACGGTCACCTTAGTGCTACGCCAGTCGTAAGTCTATGTTAAGGTTTGGCAGTTACGGTCACCTTAGTGCTACGCCAGTCGTAAGTCTATGTTAAGGTTTGGGAGTTACGGTCACCTTAGAGCTACGCCAGTCGTAAGTCTATGTTAAGGTATGGGAGTTATGATCACCTTAGCACTAAGATCGCCTTCTACAATGGCACCCTGGGACACCATTCGACAAAGCAATCATAGGGTTGTAAATTGGTGATATAGAATAAGAGTACTAATCATTCCCATTCTTTCACACTGATTGACAACAGGCATAGCTCTATGATCATTTTGTGGCACAGGTTTGTATCATTTCCCAACTATTCATTCACGATAAAGTCATTATTCTAGTAATTCTGTATATACCACATATCCTCTGCTAAGAATTAAGACTAGCAGTAGAACATGACATAGAAATTGTATAAACTATTTTAACATTTATGGGCATCCTGTTAATTTCTTGTACATATATGGGCTCAGTGTGTTGCTGTCTACAATGTAGGGACTGATGTCAGTGTAATCGGACTGATGTCATCTGGCAGTATTTTGGAGCCTTCAGAGCGAGAACAAGAATATTTTAAACTCAAAACACTAATGTAAGCCTGTTAGTGCATTTTATTTTTGAAGGATTTGGTTGTGAACAGATTGAGATATCTCTCCTGATGCTCTGATTTGGCTGTCAAGAAAGCATTGCTGTGCAATAAATTTTCTTTGCATGTGTTGTATTGCATTATGTGTTATTCCCGGACAGCACAGACAAATTCACAATAATTTAGAATATTAATAACATTTTCAGTGTCGTTCACTGGAAGACTGATGACAAACTTTCACAACTTTTCATAACATTATTTATTCATATTACAGCAAGTTGAATCGAACATCACTTCAATGGATGCCAACATGTTCATGACATTTCAAAATCCGACCATTCTGTTTTCCATGGAAGCATATTCGTGCCACCATCTAAACAATAATCATCTATGTCAAAGATGCTTTTATCACTGTATGTGAGATTATAATTGTGTGTATCCTTACTGAGACCATGAAATTGTGAAGTTTAGATGCTAGCTGTATATAAGTTAAAGAAATATTAGATATAGTGTATACAAATATATAGTGAAATATAGTTGCAGGCAACAATGAGGGCTCCTTGTCTTTAGTTCTATCTATTGTATCTGAGGGCTCGTGGGGGTCATGTACCTTTTTAAGAAGTTCCGGAGAAGAAATAGTTCCCTCTTTAAAAAGGCTGTATCTCAGTTGTTCTTGGGTCTACGGTCAAAACAATTAGTGTTCTGGAATCACCAAGCCTGCATCTACCATACTGGCACTTTCTGTGCAGAATTTGCATTTAAGCGACTTGACCCGTCCAGGCAAAATTGTTGGGAATTCCATTGTGCATCTGTACAAGAGATTTGGAAGTGTTTGAACAATTAGTTCTTGAGATATTTGCTGTCAAACTGTGCAATTTTGGAATTAATTTTGAATTATCTCACCTTTGCTATTGGGCCTAGAGCCTAGAAATTTTTAAGGGGAATATCTACACCTCGGTTTGCATCTGTGTGATTTTTTTGTAAGCGATTCGGTGCATTGGTTTAGGAGTTATGTTTGGTACAAAAATTGGCGGAATAATAAATAGAGGATATTATATGAGTGCCCATGTCATACTATGGGGGCGGTGGGGTAGCCTAATGGTTAAAGCGTTGGCTCGTCACGCTGAAGACCCAGGTTTGAATCCCCACATGGGTACAATGTGTGAAGCTCATTTCTGGTGTCCCTGCCGTGATGTTGCTGGAATATTGCTAAAAGCGGCGTAAAACCAAACTCAGTCAGTCATACTATGTTTACGACCCCAGTGCCTAAATGTTGGTATTTCCTGAGCGAGAGCGAGGGATATACCAATATTTAGGCACGAGTGTCGTAAACATAGTATGATATGGGCACGAATATAATATTCTGTTTATACCGAAGTTGTCAAATTCGGGTAAATAAACCAAAATCTACTTTCAAACATAGGCAGGCTACCCGCCTTCGGCGCATGTAGAACGCAACGTCACAGGTGAAACGTGGCGTCATAGCAGTGTTCATGACGTCACGTCACCATGACAAAGTGATATTTTACCCTAGTGCATCTGATGAAAAAATATGAACCCCGATATTTTCGCCATCATAGGTAATAAATAATAATAATAATCCGAACGATTACAATAGGTCTCCTGCCTAGAGGCAAGGAGCCCTAAAAATAGGTACACTGTGACACTAATACACTTCCACAGAAATCAGCTTGTAATTCCTTCCAGTTTTATACTTTGCATAAAGTTCATATCATGAAGAAGCCCCAACTTCTGGGCTATCCCTTTCAACAGTCATCATGCATATTAGAGTTGTCTCCCCTTGTCAGTACAATGATGAGCAGGGAGTTCCATCTATAATGCACTGTTGTTTTGTCCAGTGAGACTGCGTCACTCAACGCTGAGGACCTTGCGTTTCTTGGCTGTGTTCATATATGGCCGGTACACCCATTCCACGTCTGCTGTGTCGGCTGTTTCCAGGGTACCCAAGATTATCTGATATACTGGAATATTATTTGGACAAAATGGTTTTAAATTGGGAAAAGCATCGTCTTTTTTATCTAGTTAGTTATATGAAACAAAAGAAACTATCAACAAGATGGAATACTCCACCAAGCTCAGAAAAATAAGAAATGTGGACTGTCTTGCAATATGCCACAAGAAAGACTACTGTCAGTTGATCCTACATTCCACTTCCTACGCCCAAGGGAGCAGTGGGGTAGCCTGGTGGTTAAATCATTCACTCATCATGCCAAATTCCTGGTTCAATTTCCCTTGTGGGTACAACAGGTGAAGCCCATTCTGGTGTCCCCTGCCACAATATTGCTCGAGTTTTGCTAAAAATGGCATGTAACTATACTCACATCTATTCCCAAAGTCTACATTTTGATATGATGCAATCAGCAAAATGAACAACCCTACCACTAGCACTGGTTAACATTTACCATTAAAGTCAGTTGGAATCTTGTAATCACCCAGTCAAAACCAGAGTTACAAGGGACAGACATCGAGAAGAGAGGACTCACCAGAAGTAGGCTTACCAATGTGGGGAATCGAACCTGGGTCTTCAGCATGCCAAGGTTTACTGTAACCACCAGGATAACCCAGTAAGTCAAGCGTTAAGCCAACACACAAACATAACATTACTCACTTTTCATTTCAAACCTTGGTCCAACTTCTTTAAGTTCCAGCTCTTTGTCAACATATTTGTACACGTGGTGTCTGAAATTTTAAATACAGACATCACAAGCACATCTCCTTTTAATTTTGATTCCTTAAGTCCCAAGTCTTGGGATTCATACAGATGTAGAATTAAGCAAGAAAAGCAATCAGCCCAAGGAGCGCCTGGATTAAAATAACTACTGCAAACAAAAGCAGCAAACTTTAAGGATCTTTCTCCCTTAGAATTACACAGTGAAGGTTAACATAATGAGTGAATTAAGACATGATTACACAATGCCATTTAGAAAGTGGTCAAATGCAACATATGTTATATTTGTGATTACACTTTCTTAGTAAAGTACAAATTCTAGTACTTTTGGGGGTTGTGTCCCATCCGGGATTCGAACCCACACCCTCCAAGTCAGGCACCAAATCGTTAGCACACAAAGTCAGCCACCTAACCTGCTCAGCCGCCGCGACTTCCACAAAATGGAAGTAGGACAACTGGCAGTCTAGACTGCAGACTTTGTCTATCCCTCAGTTAAGTGTAAATTGGCTGACTTTGTGTGCTGGCCATTTGGTGCCTGACTCTGAGGGTGTGGGTTCGAATCCCGGATGGTACTCAACCGCAAAATGTACTAGAATTTGTACTCTGCTAAGAAAGTGTAATCCCAAATATAACATATGTTGCATTGAACTAAGACACATCAACAACCAATCAGCAGTTGTGTTCGCCAGGCAGGGGAACATCAAGTACTATCTTTCATTATTTAGCCACTTAACAATAGAGAAAATCAAGTTGAAGTTTAAAAACTGTCCACAAAACGTAACAATGTTTATCAGATTATTAATGCTCTGTACAGAACAACCGAAATGGAACACAATTAACTTGTAGAGTATTGTCAACACATTCCTGCTCACCTATATGAAACATAATCCTCTTCGTTAGCAAATGTAACAACTCGCTTGCTGTCTTCCTTGGGCACAGGAAACAAATATTTCAGGATGTTTTGTACCTGTAACAGTGGAGAATTGCACATAATAAACCGATACGAAGGTATTCCATAATATGAGTATCTATATTTTCATTACTCATATGTAAATAATTTCAACTTTTTGATAAAACGATTATTACAAATTTCTGATCACTAGTGTTTAAATATAAAAAGGGGTTACTATTCACATGACAGATTAGATTCCAAACAGTTTGTTGTGTTGCTTAATGTGGCACTCGACAATTTTCCAGATACATAAGATGGTCTGTAAAATAATCAAGTCTGGACCAGACAATCCAGTGATTGACATCATGAGCATACACCTGCTCAATTGGGATACAATGACATGTGTCAACCAGGTCAGTGAGTCTGGTCAACCAATTCAAACAGACAGATAAAGGATTAATAAAGTTTACCATACGTTCAAATGGTACAGAGCAAGGTTTAAATGAACACTAACCCTTTTCCCCAACTTTGATGTAAAGTTGTGGAAGATAAGATGTGGATATGCCTCGGACATCGTCCCGACGTCAGGAATGTCATGCCTCATGACCACATTGGAGAGGGTGAAATAGGCTGTCGGCCCGTACGGCATGTGACATACCACCAGGCCGTCTGAAACACACAGGCATTGGATTCCACAATCTATACTTACATCAGGTGGAGAAATAGGGATTAATGTCATTCAAAGAAGTTGCTCTTACACAGCAACATGGATGCATGTGTATGAGTGTGAGCACAGCTCTGTGTTTGTCTGTGTGTCTGGTGGTTCTAGTCGGGGCTAATGCTGTTTTTAAAGAGCTAGGTCATAGATACACATTCACTTTCAACTGAATGCCAGGAACTAACAGATTTGGGCTCGATCCACAAATTGATCATACTGCTAATATAATCATAATTCAGACTTATATCAACTGTAGCACTACTATGTGGAATTAGGACCTGTTCCACAAACAACTGACTGAATGAGTTTGGTTTTACGCTGCTTTTAGCAATATTCCAGCAACATCACAGCGGGGGACACCAGAAATGGGCTTCACACATTGTACCCATGTGGGGATTCGAACCCGGGTCTTCGGCGTGGCGAGAGCTTTGACCACTAGGCTACCCCACCGCCCCCACAAACAACTGAAACTCTACGACAGTCGTACATCTGTGTTAAAACCTGGGAGTTACGATCACCTTAGCTATACGATCGCTTCGTGGAGTGATGGCCTTGTGTCAAATGCGAGCAGCACTGTTGTATAAATTGTACTACTGAGAGTAAATCAAAGTGACACAATCAGACTACATGTCATCCAAATGACAAAAACAAACTGGACTAGAGACTCAGGCTGCACTCAACGGGTACAGTAGTGTCCCCAGCAAATTGAGAACCATGACATACAACGAGGATGATCATGACTTCAAATGTGTCATGAGGATATCAAGAACATTATTCACCTGGCTTCCCCCTGTGCTCCTGAACCATGATCAGGTCTGTGACATCGTTGGCTCGGCATGCTCCGACGAGCTGCTTCATCTCATAATTACCACGATTGATTCTTTGGCTGTTGGGAAACAGAAGCTTGATTTCCTGAAATGTCATTGAAGAAGATGTATTGACATTAAGTATCTTTATTGAAATTATAACAACTCTGTGTAGTGTTAATCAACAATGGCCATGCCGAAAATGTCACCCTGACCTTTATGATATCTATCAACACAATACAACAGATTATACCAAAGGCTGAACAATGAAGGAAACATCCCTAACACTTCATATAATTATCCACATATTTTCAAGAAAATCTCTCATTTGTATAAATTTCCTACCTCTTGACTAAAACTGTTGGTCAACAACTGTCACAATTTTCACCCACTTCCTTCACATATATCACTCATTCATGACATCACACTGTATTCAAGCTAACCTTTGCAAACTGTTTCAGTTTTGAGCTGGGGTCTCTGGCCGTTGTGATCATAATCTTGGGGTCCTCCACGCCAGCCCACTTGTACTCGTCATCAACATGAGTCGTCAAGCCTGAACACCACACAGAGATATCAACATAGTGAAGATATATCAACACAATCATATTACGATCACCTTAGCGCTATAATGGCTGTGTGAACAGAACCATGTCTACTACATCAAAGCCTTACAACAGTGCATGTTGATGGTTATAATAGTTTGTTTTTTTATAAGACACATTGAGCAGTACTTGGATCATGTCTAATGGTTTTAATGTTAAAAGAATATTTATAATCTTGATTTATAGATAATGACATCATGATTTTGTTTGTTTGCTTGCTGTTTAACACCACACTCAGCAATATTCCAGCTATATGGCCGCTGCCTGTAAATAAACAAAGTCTGGAGCAGACAATCCAGTGATCAACAGAATAAGCATCAATCACCCGATCCCATCAGTTGCCTTTTACAACAAGCATGGGTTGCTGAAGACCAATTCCAACCCCAATCTTCACGGCTTTGACATTATGAGGTATCATTGAACAAACTTATTTATAATAATTCCATCAATCAACATGATCTAAATGGAAGTGTTTGCTACATACCATCAGCTCCATCCCCTTCCCAGTCAAGGGTCTTTTCCAAGTACACTGCATCTTTCCTCAAGTCAACGGAACAGTTTTATTCTCTGAAAACAGAAACATATAGATTTCAGTGAACATGTCAACTACATGCAGACCACCTTGACCCAGGACATATTGTGTTACCTTCGTTACATCTTGCAGAGTTCAATATTGATATAATCCTTTTAGCATCTAGTGCCGCTGGAGATATTCATGATGTCAGAATATGCTCAATGCATGATTATCATGTTCAGTATACTATTTCTAAATGAAAGTGTTTATGAAGAGAACAAAACACCTTTTGGATTGTGCATACTTTGGGAATATCTTCTGGGATTGTGTGCTTCATTGTGTGTCTTCACTACAAAAAGAAAATATCCCCAAAAATATTCACTATTACTCCCTCGCTCAGCATATATTGGAATATATATTTGGGACAGTCTTCACTATTAAAAAAAATATCCACCAAAACATTCATTACCACTATTGTTTTTGCAGATATTATTATGTTGACACTATCAGAACCAAAACTGTATCTCTTGTCCACAATGGACTACCGATGTCAGTAATGTTGTTGAGACACCTAGGAATAACGGACTATAGAAATTTCACATATTCGCACAACATGTCAGTCCACTACCATGGAAACATGAAGTAAATGGGTTCCTAGTCTGTTATGACATAAATTTGTTGTCACAAAATTATGACACATGACACACATTATGCCCACATGAGTGAGTATGGTTTTATGCCGTTTTTAGCAACATTACAGCAATATCACTGTGGGGACACCAGAAATGGGTTAAAAAAGTCAAAGGGCGAGGCTAAAAGTCAAATGGGCGAAATGAAAAGTCAAAAGCCGAAAAAAGGGCCGAAATTAAAATAAAATGTAATAAATAATAATTTAATAAATTACGCAGTAAAATAGCATGAATAGTGTTTAGTTTGTTGTTTTGTTATTTTCAATGGAATTTGAACATTGGACTCAGTGTCATGACTAATCCGTATGGGATGTTTGTTTTGTTGTTGTTTGACTCAGTGTGTCAACTAATGAACTCACTTCAATTGACAATATGGTATATAACCTGCTTCCCAACATACAACATTCACAACACTAACCATGGCTGTCCAGTGTGTGCAGTGCTCTAAGACTATAAGAAGAAATCAGCATGCCTTAGAGTGTGATCAATGTCAGTCATGGACACACAGGACTTGTGGCACAGGGATGACTCGTGTGGCTACCTAGACTTATGCAGAAGTGGAGAAGAATTTAATTTCTTGTGTCATTTATGCAAGACAACTATTCCCAACTTCACTCTCCAGTTGGATTCTTCAATAGATGCTCCATCAGTTGCTTTCGATGACACTCTTGAAGTTCAGGAAGTGTAAGTATATTTAACATCATAATGTATAACATATAACTTAATGCCGATCAAACAATTATATGTATTATATATTTTCAAGTTTATGTATTTTAATAACACAAATTTTTATTGACATAACAGATCAATGGAGGAGGATATTCTTGCGGAGGAGCGGGAGGTGGAAGATCCTCCATACTGCGTTAGTATCAGGACGGCTCACAGAAATCAAAACCCAAGCTGGTAGACAGGAATGGATTCACCTACGTAATAAAGGTATTGTTACATCTTAATCCTATTATATCAACCATACTATACCTGGATATTTCTATATTTAATGTTATTGTTTCTGGCGTTATATTAGCGTTATTTAATTACATCTTTCAGGAGGTCACTCAGAATAAGATTTACTACAGATGTAGCAAGCGTCCCTGTAAGGCAACTGTTGCGAGACCAAATCAACAGGAGACAGAAGCCAGGCAAACATAACCACAGCCACACAGCAGAGGCAGGCAAAATTGTTTCAATCCAAGTAAGAGCTCAGGTGAGTAGTACTTTCTATTGATTGATTCCTAATTAGGATTAGTTAAATTGTCAATTGAACATCCTTAATTGTTAATTGGTAGATGTCGAATTGAATTGATTCTTAATTGGATCAATCAACCTTGTTGTTATAGGTGAAGAGGACTGCAGCATTAAGACCTGTTTAAGTCTGCCAGGTCAATAGCTGAGGATATCACCAGCGATATGGTAGATCAATACTGCCATCCGGAGCAGAGACAACCCTGAATATTTGGCTCATTATAAGCCAACAGGTGTGAGAAAAACTTGGCCAAAGAATCCGAAGATTTGGAATTTGAGGTAATCTTTTGACTTGTGTTAAGTTTCATTATTTGTAAATAAAATAACATGAATTAAGTAACACCACAAAATAATTGTAATAGTGCATAATATATTTATTATATGAATTGCAGCTTGCCGAGAGCTTCCTGCCTGAAGGGTTCCTGCGTGCTGATGTCAGGGTGAAGGGAGAGAGGCATCTCTTGTTTGCTACTGACCGGCAACTGGCTCAGTTATCCATGGCACAGCAGTGGTTCGTGGATGGGACATTCAAAATAGTTAAAATGTTACCTTAGGTTTTCGGGGTGTTGTACCCTTCCACCCTAGGTAATCTGTCTAGCCACTCTGGTCCAGGGGATAATGTAGCTAAGATGGATAGTCAAGGATAAGTCCGGTATGGTGTTCAAGTCCTGTTTATTTTAGCATGAATTCTTTCACAAAGGTCCTCAGATACTTCCTAGCTTTCCTAGTTTACATGCAACACGAATTCACAACTTCATGGAAGAACTTGTTGGTTTCTTGCCCAACTCCTAAAGTTACAATTACATCTCAGCCATTCTCTCAATATACAGAGAGAACCTCTCAAGTCAACGGTAGGGCCCAGCTCTCCCGCTCTCTCCCAGTCAGCTCAGTTTTGATTCTCTTCACAATTTTCGGGCTCCTCCCCCTGTAAATCGGTCCTACCCCATATAAAAATGACTCATAACCCATCTGACTAATAAGTTACTTTCATTAGTCCCTTTTCAACTGACTCATATTCCAGCTGCACCACTAACTATAATCATTTCCTCTCTTCCAAGACTTAATCGGTACCATCAATTTCTTCCATCATAAATGTACCTTATTAGTGAGCTTAAATCATTCGTGAAGCATTCAACCGAATAAAACTTCCGACTGTCAGGCGCCAGAGGTTGGTTAATCGAATTATTACGTGTGTCCCTTTTCTGATTCTTAGTATCTTAATTACTAGTAACTACCTAAATGGTATATGAGTCACCCGATCCACGTGTTCCACTCATCTCCCTTATTAGATTTGTTGTATGCAAGGGAAATGAATCGATATGAATCTGGTTACTCTGGTCAATGCACTTTCCCAGCACAATGACACTTCTTAACTGAACTTCAAATTTTCCTTAAATATTTACCAAATATATTTTAAGTTTTCAATCCTAAATACCCTGGTTATAAAAAGTCCCTTCTATCAACTACTCTCTGTACATGGATATCTGAAGGCCGCTCAGCAGATGAAGATGATGCCTCTCTGCTTTATCCTCATGTCGCGTCGCAGGACCATCGACTATGTGAAAGTCATACGAAAGATGCTGCACGTCCTACCCCGTCCACCCCAAGTCCGATGCATTATGATGGATTTCGAAGCTGCCACATGGAAGGCATTTGATCGACTCCTCCCCGATGTCAAGCTACGCGGTTGTGTATTCCATCTTACACAAGCCATCTGGCGACATTGCCAGGAACTTGGACTTCAGGTAACACATTCATTCATTCGTATATGCATCATATTCATATAGCCACATTTTTCAAAGTCATCTTCTGTTCCTATTCCTGTCATATTTATATACTCATATTCCTTTTTTCTTTTCTAGAGAGCGTATTGCGAGAACAATGCAGTTCACAAATTCATCAGGAAGCTGATGGCTTTGGCCTTTCTTCCAGCGGCACACATCAGACCTGTCTTCCGTCAGCTGAAGATGAGAGCGTCGTCACAGAAGCTGGTTGATCTCTGTGACTACATGGAGCGACAGTGGATGAGTCACTCCATCTTCAAAGTGGTCAGTTGGTGCGTATTCAACCAGTCAGTCCGCACCAACAACAATGTAGAAGGTATGTATAGTTTGTCATTCAATCGAAAAATGATTAAATTTGATATTTAAATGTCAAAATCGATTATAATTAACACAACAATATATATTATAAACAAATATTTTTAAATTTTAGGTTGGCATCGCCGGATGAATGTCTTGGACATCTGATCAACAACTGGGACTGTACAAGCTGATTCCAGCTCTCCATAAAGAAGCCAGTCTCCTGCCACTCCACGCCCAGCTCCTCCATGATGGAAAACTGACAAGATTTGTGAAGAAGTCGGCGTCTGCTGACCAGGCTGAAATCTTTGCTGCTTGGCGGCTGTACAAAGAAGGACAGCTCAGCCCTACTGCGCTACTGACAATGTGTTCCAGAGTGTATGCCCCAAGTGTGTTTGAATGAATCAATGAACAGTGTGTGAATTATGAACAAATGAAGTTGTGTGAATTATGAAGTTGTGTGAATTATGAATGAATGAACTTGTGTAAATTATGAACGAATGAACTTGTGTAAATTGCCATATTATTTTTGTTAATTATGTGAACTTGTGTTGATTAAATATATGTATTACCATTACATGAAAACCTGGCTACATGCTTTATTAATGTTATGCTGATATTATGCTTTATGTCAATAACTTTATATCAATAAATAATGTAAAACCTTTCTCAACTTTTTTTCTGTTCGGCCCATTTGACTTTCACCTCGGCCCTTTTGACTTTTTGTCTCGGCCCTTTTGACTTTCACCTCGGCCCTTTTGACTTTTTCCATCGGCCCTTTTGACTAGGCACTTCTCGGCCCTTTTGTCCTTCGGCCCTTTTGACTAGATCCCGCTTAAAAATATGGAAGGGGAGTCATTGATTTTGTACACGACATGCAGAGGGCACTTACTTTGTACATAAATTTTAGGGGGGCACTCACATTGTACATGCTTCTCCATAAAAAAATCATCAACCAACCAACCAACCCACCCCAGCCATAAATTATGAACGGTCTCTAAATCTTAGTCTGACACTAGTGACAGCCTGCGTTGTCGCCTCATGTTATGACATAAACTCGTACCTTCTAGTGACTGTTTTATTTTCTGCTTCTTTTCGTGGATAGTTCTTTCCCTTTCTTCAATGGATTTTCTATAAATATATTCCCTCCGAAGTCTGGCTTGCCTCCTCAGCTGAAAATGTCAAGAAGGCTTAGTCTGAACATACATGCTTATAGAGATTTAAAATATGATACTGATCAAACATTACTGATGAAACGTTTGCCTGTCTCACTTATATTTTATACGGCTAACCAACACATAAAAACCAAACAAACCATCTTTTTTGCTTGGATATTGTCCTGCTTGTCTATAATTTTCACAACTTGCCCACGTGTGGTCTGCTCAACCGGAAGTTTAGACTTTATGGAACCGGAAGTAATCATTTAATAATCGATAAATTCCTACTTCACCTCTTGTTTTTCAAAATTAATATCTTTCTAATTATCCACATTTTCGAACCGAGTCATTAGTTAATATACGTGTACATGTTGTGTATCATTCAATATTTGTATTTATATTTGTGGTTAAGAAATACAATTATATCAGGTTTATCGACTGTTGTAAAGGGACTTCCTGTAACATCGAGAAGCTGAAAACGTTTACCTTACATTTTGATTTTCTGTGGATTCTTCATCAAAATGGTAATAAGGATAGGATTATAACATTTACTTTCACTACATCTGCATACGTGGGAAATTTACTTTTACTTGTTAATGGTATTTTTGCTTCTCACGTTGTTACACAAACACAACCAAATTCATTTGTTTTAAAACATTTCTTATATTTATAACAATTATTACGGATATACAACTTCTTTTATTCTGTGGAGGCGACGTTTCGACATAGATTCTAATGTAGACTTGCTTGACAACGACATAAGAATCTATGTCGAAACGTCGCCTCCACAGAATAAAAGAAGTTGTATATCCATAATAATTGTCATTATTCAACACAAAAGTTCTAAAATACATGGAACTTTAATTCAAAAGCATGGTATTTATAACGATTGTTGACACACTCATATTAATGACAGTTACTTAAATCCAAAATATTTATTAATTTAATGGGAGGTTTATATGCCTTTTTCACCCATGAAGGTCGGGTTAGAATATTGATCTTCAGTAAATGCTTGTCGTAAGAGGCAACTAACGGGATCGAATGGGCAGGCTCGCTGACTTGGTTGACACATGTCATCGGTTCCCAACTGCGCAGATCGATGCTCATGCTGTTGACCACTGGATTGTCTGGTCCAGACTCAATTATTTACAGACCGCCGCCATATAGCTGGAATATTGCTGAGTGCGGTGTAAAACTAAACTCACTCACTCACTATATGCCTTTTTAAAAAGTATTCATTGTTTGACATGACGGATGTGGATATTAATCCAGTATTCTTGATATTATATGTGGTGATCTTGTTCAGGCAGTACATCATTTGGGGTAGCTCCTATATTGTACAAATTGTAGTTGCCTATGATAGAATTGTAAAGGGGTGCTTTACCCTATGGAATATTTGGGGACATTTGATCATAGTTGGCTCAGTGAAATTGAGATTAAAAATTTAATGTTAAAATAATAATTTCAAATGCTGATATGTATGATAAATTGTTCTATGACATTTGTTTCATTTTCATCTTTTAATATGTTATATTTCAGTGATTTTGCTTCTGATGATATATTTGATTGTAAAAGGTTACTTTGTAAAATTCTTTTCTTTTGTTTTACAGGCACGTAACAGTGAAAAGGCAATGTAAGTATTTGGTGTTATCTACTCATGTGCTTTTTGTGGTACCAATCTTATTATCATCTTCTTTTGTTCTACCATCTCAGTACTGTTCTACATGATCATGATGATGCATCTGACTGATGATGATGACTATTATTTCTGTATCTATATCCAACATGCAGAGAGAGGAAGGTCGCGGGTTCGATCCCCGACCGCGTTATACCAAAAAGACGTTAAAATATGGTACTTGTTGGTCCCTGCCTGGCGCTCGGCATTAATGGGTACAACAAGGACTGGTCGGCTCGGAGTCAGTATAATGAGTCTGAGTGGGGTATTCATGCTTTACTGCGGCATGGTATCTCAGTGGGCTAGCACTATAAAACCAGCTTAAGTCTGGGCTAGTACAAGCAGCTGCACATACACATACACACGCATGCACATCGTCATATGAGCGAAATAATCTGAAGTGCGACGTTAAACCCAATTTCACCTCACCCAACATCAGTATGTCTATGTAATATACAAGCAACATATGTAGGCCTGCAATGAATGCTAAATATGAACTAGCATCATCATTTAAAGGTGTAAAAAAGTATTTCTGCCTCCTCATTGTCCATCTTAACTGTGGTGACCTTAACAAATGTTAGTGTTGTATGAAATGTACATAGCATAATTTGGTGCTACTTCTAAACCTGTTTGATAAGTATCTTAAATATCATTTCAGGACCACACTGGCCCGATGGCGAGCTGCACATTTAGACGGAACAAGAGAAAAGGTAACTCTCTAAGAGGATGAAAGGCGCAAGATTCAGTGTCTGTATGCTTAAAAAGTATATTGACATTAATCTGACTTGAAAGAAGCATTCTAAAAATGCGTTTGTTACCATGCCATGGGCAAGGTATCAGATATTAAGCAAAAGTACAATCCCAACAGGGTTGTCAACTAACAATAGATTTATGACTACTGAGCTTTGTCATTGTATTATGAACATGAACACTTTACAAATACAACCAGGAATTACTTCCTGTGAGAAGATAACTGGTTTGTTGTTTAATGCCACACTCAGCAATATTACAGTTATGTGGTGGCGGCGGCTGCCTGTAAATAATCAAGTCTGGACCTGATTGTCCAGTAATCAACATCATGAGCATCAATTTACACAATTAGGACACTATGACAGGTTATTTTATCTTTAGGACTCAGATGTTTCACAACTGCACTCCGTATATTTGTTTGATAACGTGGGGTGTAGGGGCAGCCTAATGGTTAAAGAGTCTGCTCGTCACACTGAAGACCGGGGTTTGATTCCCCACATGGGTACAAAGTGTGCAGCCCATTTCTGGTTATCCCTGCCGTGATATTGCGGGAATATTGTTTAAAAATGGCATAAAACCATGCTCACTCACTCATGTTACATAACGCTAGCTTCATGATGGTTAGGATGCTACATTCAGGATTCGGGATCTGAATTGGTCTCCAGCAACCTTTACCCAGTAGATCAGGTGGTAAGGATTGATGGCTTGGTTGATTTCGTGTCATCATATTCTGAAAAAGTGGAGAAATGCTAACAGTATCGATCACTGGATTGTCTGGTCCAGACTTGATATTTGCCTGGCTGCCATCATATAGATAGAATGATGCTTATTTTGGTGTTAGCAACAAAGATATACAGTGAAGCCTCGTTAATCCGGACGGTTGCGTTTCTCAGCGAATTCGTCCGGATTCGCGAATCGTCCAGACTACTGAATCAAGACCCAAGTTGAAGCAAGAGTTGCTTCCCTTACTATTACAAAAAGCGACACGACTCTGGATAAAACAAATAGGCATTTAATGTAAAGCTTATAAAAGCGATGAATAGCAAGCACAACAATAAATTATAGTCATAGCAAAAGTCTTTCATAGTTGTTTGTGTTCGTTTAACCTTCCTCATTGAATTCATCACATCAATAATTTTACCGAAAGTGACATCCGCATGTTGATCCGACGTGTCTGATCACGTCCTTCCTCAGCACAGGTGAGGTAATGTCTAACAAGCGATCTATTGTAGTATGCCTTGAATGTCCAGATTATTCCTGCATCCATCGGTTGTATATGAGATGTGGTATTTGGTCACATTTCGCAAAGTTAGCGAAGCACACTTGTGACTTGCAGTGTTGTCGAGAAGCAAAATCACTTTAAGTCCACGTGACCGCATCTGTCTGTCAAAGTTCATTAACCAATCACAAAACAGCTCACTTGTCATCCACACCTTTGTATTGTGGTGTCAATCAAACTGTAAATGTACAGCATCATCAGTCGGGAGCTTTTAATGTCTAATTAAAACAACAACCCTTAATATACATTTCTCAAAAGTTAACAAGAGTTCATCTTGTCAACTCCATGACATCGAGTGTTTATTGTTTGAGGCCAGTTAAGTAAACATCGCCGGGAGGTGTTGTTATGGTTCATGAACACGACTTACAGCGTCCGGACTGTGAAGCAATTTACTGTTTATTTTACTTATTGGTTACAGTTACTTTCCGTCCGGTTCCGGAAAACGAATTTCCGGATTATCGAGGCAAATTAAATAGGCATAGATTGGTAACAAGCTGAAATCGTCCGGGAGGCGAGACATCCGGATTATCGGTGTCCGGACTAACGGGGGCTTCACTGTAAACAAAATAGGATACCACATATCAACAGTACATTTCACATAAAATCAAACATACTTTGCAGTTGGTAAATGGTCCAATACCTTTCTTGTAAGAATACCAATCCCTAGCATTAAATGGATGTGGCAACAGGTGACTAAATGTTTTAAATGGTGCCGCTGATTGATTTGAGTGATTGTATGTCACCATACCCCTTTAGTATTAATTGATGCTTATGACGTCAATCACTGGATTTCTAGGTCTGACATTTACAGACCGCCATCATATAGCTGGAATATTGCTGAGTGCTGTGATTAATAGGGCTGCGCAATATAACCGGTTTACCGGTACTTACTGGTTCAGACATGAAAACGATACGTATTGCGATACGCTGATTGAAAACCGGTATTTTGACAAGCATTCGGGAAAACGTCGTAACACTTGGGAATCTTCGGATATTTCTTTGTTTCATTTGTGCCAAATATTATTCACATTTTTATTTTATCATGATTAAAATTTGTTATTAAAGCTTAATCAAGCATAGTGATTTTGTTGTGTTCTTGCTCTGTAAATCAAGCAGTAACTCGATTATAAGTAGTTTTTTGTTCAAAAATACTTCATGCAATATATTGCAATTCATATCGCAATACATGCTTTCGCATCGCAATATATCGCGATATGAATATTCTCTGCAATACCCACCCTAGCGATTAACAAATGGACAAGCTAGCCTGCTCAGGATGATACCAGGAAAAACTTACATAGGATGCAACTGTACATTTGTCTGTGTCAGGAAAGACGTCCTTATTTGGCTTCTGATTGCGAAGATGTGAGTAAAGCTGAAAAATGGCGCCGGCAGATCATCGGGGAAATATCACGGAAGGTGGCCCAAATCCAGAATGGTGAGTTGAAGAATGAGTGAGTGAATGAGATTTGATCCCAAGTGAACAAGATTACTTGTGGATCACATGAGCCTGTTAAGCACTGGACAAGACCCTCAATGGAGATTATGGGTTAGAATTTATCTCAAACAACTCGTATAGGATCAGGGAGGTCAGGCTCGTTGACTTGCTTAATTGTATGTCATCGTACCCTGCCATCGTCAATTGAAGCTCATGATATCCATCACTGGATTGTCTGATCCTGACTTCATTAGTTACATCTGGAATTGTTAAGTGTGTAATTGTGTTTTCCTGTGACAGTTGAGCAAAATAATGAAAAGACCATGAAGATTATAGAATGGTTCAAGTAGTAGACAGACAGGTGTAGGCTGCAGGATCTGAATGGCCAGACCTGACTGTGTACAGAGCATTAAGGCTGCTGATGATTCCTTGTACATGTCACCTCAGTCTATGCAAATATCTCTGAGCCAATAATCACGAACTTAGCACTAAGTATTATATTCATTATAGTTGAGAGTGATCTTTGGAATTATTATAAGCAGAGTTTAGTAAACCCAACAGATCTTGAATGGACTCAGGCTTCAGACAAGTGGATAGAATTGGGCTTCAATCGTTTCAGACTGCCATTGTTGTGACCTTGACATTAACATCCAAGCATACATGAGCTCATTTTACACCAATACTTGGCTCCCTGTGTTGAGCACCCAGTATGAGCTCACGGTGGCTTCACAGTATTCACTCTCCGATGATGATGTTGTTGCTGGTAGTTATCTTTTTGATAAGATACAGTTTATTAAGTAATTTGTTGGATGAAAAATGTCACAATGCACAAGACAAGAAGACAAGTATGTCATTAGTTGGTAATAACTTGATGTTTTTTCCAGCTGGTCTGGGTGAGTTCAAGCTGCGAGATCTGAATGATGAGATCAACAAGCTGTTGAGGGAGAAGGGTCACTGGGAGGACCGCATCAAGGAGCTGGGGGGACCAGATTACAAGGTAAACAAGCTGGGGCTGGGGACCAGATTACAAGGTACACACACGAGGGGTTGAGGACCAGACTACAAGGTACACACACTAGGGGTGGGGGACCAGATTACAAGGTACACACACTGGGTTGGGGACCAGATTACAAAGTACACACACTGGGGGTGGGGGGACCAGATTACAAGGTACACACACTGGGGGTGGGGTGGGGTGGGGACCAGATTACAAGGTACACACACTGGGGGTGGGGGACAAGATTACAAGGTAAAACACACTAGGGGTTGAGGAACAGATTACAAGGTACACACACACTGGGGGTGGGGGACCAGATTACAAGGTAAACACACTGGGGGTGGGGACCAGGTTACAACGTACTGGGGTGTAAAACACACGGGGGAGATGACAAGGTAAACACACTGGGGGGGGGACCAAGTTACAAGGTACACACACTGGGGGTGGGGGACCAGATGACAAGGTAAACACACTGGGGTGGGGGACCAGGTTACAAGGTACACACACTGGGGGTGGGGACCAGATGACAAGGTAAACACACTGGGGTGGGGACCAGATGACAAGGTAAACACACTGGGGGTGGGGACCAGGATTACAAAGATTACAAAGATAAACACACTGGGGGTGGGGGAGGGAGAGATGACAAAGGTAAACACACTGGGGGGGGGCAGATGACAAGGTAAACACACTGGGGGCAGGTTACAAGGTACACACACTGGGGGTGGGGGACCCAGATTACAAGGTAAACACACTGGGGGTGTTGGACCAGATTACAGGGTACACACACTTGGGGTGGGGACCAGATTACAAGAAAACACACTGGGGAGGGGGACCAGATTACAAGCTAAACACACTGGAGGTGGGGACCAGATTACAAGGTAAACATGCTGGGGGTGGGGACCAGATTACAAGGTACACACACTGGGGGTGGGGACCAGATTACAAGGTAAACATGCTGGGGGGTGGGGACCAGATGACAAGGTACACACACTGGGGGTGGGGACCAGATTACAAGGTACACACACTGGGGTGGGGACCAGATTACAAGGTAAACATGCTGGGGTGGGGGACCAGATTACAAGGTACACACACTGGGGGTGGGGACCAGATTACAAGGTACACACACTGGGGGTGGGGACCAGATTACAAGGTACACACACTGGGGTGGGGACCAGATGACAAGGTACACACACACTGGGGTGGGGACCAGATTTCAAGGTACACACACTGGGGTGGGGGGCCAAGAGATGAAGGTACACACACTGGGGTGGGGACCAGATTACAAGGTACACACACTGGGGTGGGGGCCCAGATGACAAGGTACACACACTGGGGGTGGGGAACCAGATGACAAGGTACACAAACTGGGGGTGGGGACCAGATTACAAAGCAAACACACTGGGGGTGGGGGACCAGATTACAAGGTAAACATGCTGGTGTGGGGACCAGATTACAAAGTACACACTGGGGGTGGGAGATGGGGACCAGATTACAAGGTACACACACTGGGGGTGGGGCACCAGATTACAAGGTAAACATTCTGGGAGTGGGGGACCAGATTACAAAGTACACAAACTGGGGGTGGGAGATGGGGGACCAGGTTACAAGGTACACACACTAGGGGTTGAGGACCAGATTACAAGGTAAACACACTGGGGGTGGGGCACCAGATTACAAGGTTCTTGACAAAACTTTTTATATTGTTATCGAGGTGATTTTCTTTCAGAGAGTTGGACCCAAGATGCTGGACCATGATGGGAAGGAGGTGCCAGGAAACAGAGGGTACAAGTGAGTAGCCAGGGTTCCATCCACAGAGTCAGGGAGTTTGTTAATTAACTTGAAGTAAGTGATGAGCTTCAAGGTAAAACAGGATGCATCGGCAAAGCAGATTTCTGTTGTAACATAGGGTTTCAGGCCAGTTGATTTTCTAAGACAAGCAATGATTGTCATCCCAACATCCGTGAACATTATTGGAATTTGGTAATGCTACTGAAGCATGTCTTTAAAAAAATCACATAAATGTCCTGATGACATTTGTCTCTAGCAAAATCTTTAAGTCTTCGTAACAGGGAAATCATTCTATCATGCCATGTGTTGAGTGAGTTACATCAGGAGTCATTAAAGTAAAACTTTAAACATTCTTGGATAGATCCACATGATTGTCATGCCTTTTGAAGTCAAAAGTTTCTCATGCTTGTAATAGGGGCCAACTGAAATGGGGATTGTATGGAATGAATTATTGCTCGTGCTAGTAGTCTCTCATCTTCCTGGAACAGAACTGATCCGTTACACACTGTCTTGATTGATGGTTGTGCCCTTCATGCATGGGTGAATGAAGGACAGCATGTTATGGAGATTGTCCGTGATTATTAAGATGAGCATGTTGGTGTGTTAATGTATACTACAACTTTTAGAGTATAAAACTCTACTGAATCTACTTCCAGATATTTTGGAGCAGCCAAGGATCTACCAGGTGTTCGAGAATTATTTGAACAAGAACGTAAGATATTTTCTATATTCATGGTACCATGGAAGTTTAATGGAAGTCTCTAATGAGAGAGGGGCGGAGGGGTAGCTTGTCACGCCGAATACCTGGTTTGATTCCCCACATGGGTACAATGTGTGAAGCCCATTTTTCTGGTGTCCCCTGCCGTGATATTGCTGGAATATTGCTAAAATGCGGTGTAAAACCATACTCACTGACTCACTCTAATGAGAGAGAGGTTTATCCACTCATGAGTCACCAGCATATTCCACCATGTTAACCACTTATATAACATAGTGCTTGCAGCAAGATGAAACAATGCACATGTGATGTGGTTATGATAAGGTAAAAAGGGGTTTAACATTGTCTCGTTTAAGATTATAGTGTCACTGCTTGTTCTAGCCTTGACTTGTCCTGGTTCAATAGAGCTAGCCACTGAGATACTGTACCACACTTTGATGTTAATATTTGACTCAGATATAGTTAGCTGAGTTTACCACTTGTTTTATCCCTTTAATACCGAGTGCCAGGCAGAAATAAATAATTATGTTGTGTCCCTTGAGGGTTGTGGAAGATTTAAGAAAAGTAGTAGAAGTTAAAACAAATTGCATGGTCATAATCTCTGTAATTCCAGCTCCGCCCCAGCCTCGGAAGACCAGAGCCGAGTTAATGAAGGACATTGATGCTGATTACTATGGTTACCGAGATGAGGATGATGGGATACTTATCCCCCAGGAGCAGGACACAGAAAAGCAAGGTAGATATCCGCTTCACAATGGTAGATATCCGCTTCACATTGGTAGATATCCGCTTCACATTGGTAGATATCCGCTTCACATTGGTAGATATCCGCTTCACATTGGTAGATATCCGCTTCACATTGGTAGATATCCGCTTCACATTGGTAGATATCCGCTTCACATTGGTAGATATCCACATTGGTAGCTTCACATTGGTAGATATCCGCTTCACATTGGTAGATATCCGCTTCACATTGGTAGATATCCGCTTCACATTGGTAGATATCCGCTTCACATTGGTAGATATCCGCTTCACATTGGTAGATATCCGCTTCACATTGGTAGATATCCGCTTCACAATGGCTGCTGTCTTTATAGGAGACTACACTTGGATAAACTGACAGCTCCAGCAATCTGTACGTCAGTCATTCAAACACCATATGTGGGACTGATAACTGACCATATTTGTTGTATTAAATACTCTGCTACTCTAATATCCCCCGTGGGGTGGTTGGGTAGCCTAGTGGTGAAGGCGTTTGCCCATCACACTAAACACCCGGTTTGATTCCCCACATGGGCACCCCGCCATGAGGATATTGCTGGAATATTGCTAAAAGTGGCGTAAAAGCTTAACTCACTCACTCACTCACTCACTCACTAATCACTCTCACTCAACTAACTTCTAGACTAATCTGCAAGTAACCTTTGTAACACTTAGACTTAACCTTTGTAACATTTTCATGGTGTGTTTTTATGTATATTTAGACACATGTACAATTAACCTATGAATGGTTGTCCTGGGTGCACAGAAGGGTGAATGAATGTACTGACATTTGTACAGTTGGCTTCAGGTATACAGGGTGAATGTTGTGACACATGTATGGTTGACCCCAGTAAACACAGGTTGTTGTTGTTCCTCCTGCCAGCCATGGCTTCAGGTATACAGGGTGAATGTTGTGACACATGTATGGTTGACCCCAGTAAACACAGGTTGTTGTTGTTGTTCCTGCTGCCAGCCATGGCTTCAGGTATACAGGGTGAATGTTGTGACACATGTATGGTTGACCCCAGTAAACACAGGTTGTTGTTGTTCCTCCTGCCAGCCATGGCTTCAGGTATACAGGGTGAATGTTGTGACACATGTATGGTTGACCCCAGTAAACACAGGTTGTTGTTGTTCCTCCTGCCAGCCATGGCTTCAGGTATACAGGGTGAATGTTGTGACACATGTATGGTTGACCCCAGTAAACACAGGTTGTTGTTGTTGTTCCTCCTGCCAGCCATGGCTTCAGGTATACAGGGTGAATGTTGTGACACATGTATGGTTGACCCCAGTAAACACAGGTTGTTGTTGTTGTTCCTCCTGCCAGCCATTGCCAAGAAAGTTCGGGACTGGAAGGAGCAACAGGAGAAGATCAGTCGCGGGGAGGTCACGGAGGAGGACGCCATGGAAACCGAGGAGGAAATCTACCTGCCGGAGGAGGTGAGGCTAGAATTGCATTTGGACATTGTAGGATTCCTCACTTTCAGCTTTGAACCTCAGGGAAGCTGCTAGTCATTATGTTAATAAGTTACCTGGATGATCACCCCTTATTATTTGCTAGGTTCTGTCTTGTGTTAGGTGGGGCAGTGGGGCAGCCTAGTAGCCTTAAAGCGTTCTACGCCGAGGACCTGGGTTCGATTCCCCACATGGGTACAATGTGTGAAGCCCATTTCTGGTGTCCCCCGCCGTGTTTTTGCTAACAGCAGCGTAAAACCATACTCACTCACTTGTGTTAGGTCCAAAGATCTTTTTTGGTGTTATTGATTATCAGCTCTACTAGAACTATCTACAAAATACAATTCAGCATTTGTATACAACTCAAAAGTTATTTGTGCATGGTTTTCCTTGAGCTGTGGCCAAGTTCAGTTTAACCTGATTGTGTCTGGTCATATAGAGATTGTTTGGGGAGAATCGTCATGACTAGTAGAGTCAAACAATGTTTATGAAACTGACAAATTAAAATCTTGCATGTTTTGTGGTGACTGTTTATATACATTTGTTTCTTTAGATTGAAGAGGAAATTACAGAAACTCAAAAAACAGAAGAAACAGCTGAACACTTTATTGCCCATGTCCCAGTGCCATCCCAGAAAGAGGTCAGTAGATTATCTCCCTTTGTTTGAAACATCTATCTCAACATTATTGCTTCAGGTTTGTACTTCAAATCAGGGGTAGTTTGGTAATGGTTAAAGCGTCAACTCGTCACACTGAAGACCCAGGTTCGATTCCCCACATGGGTGCAATGTATGAGTCTCATTTTTGGTGTCCCCCGCTGTGATATTGCTGAAATATTGCTAAAAGCAACATACGACCATATTCTCTCTCTCTCCTCTCTCACTCTCTCCTCACTCTCTCTCTCTCTCTCACTCTCTCTCTCTCTCTCTCTCTCTATTTCTCTCTCCCTCTCTCACCTCTCTCTCTCTCTATTCCCTCTCATTCTCTCTCTCTCTCTCTCTCCGCCTCTCTCTATCTCTCTCTCTCTCTCAAATCATTGATTAGGAGAAGCAATGTTTTTTTCAGGCTTTGTTTCTGGTATCTTGAGTAGATATTTCACTGCTGGTATTTCTAAGATTGATTCAGAGGCAAGGGATGCCCATTTGTCTAGGCAGAGTTGCATCCCTTTTGCTTGTCATAATCCTGTGATTGTTGGTTTTAATTGCAGATTCTCTGTGATTGCTGCTTGGTTTGTCAGAACTATGTCTGTATTTGTGAGTTGTCAAAGTTGTAAACATGTAGACTTGCATCATTTCCATGTTTCATTGATGGATTTCGACATTTACAGACATCCATCATATGGCTTGAATGTTGCCAAGTGCATTATTAAACAACAAACACTCTCCAACTCACTCTCACTTACCAACTCATTTCATTCATTCATTAGTATCAAGTGATGGGTTCAGAGAGTCAGACTAGCTGACATTCATCATATCCCATTTGCATTGATCAATGCTCTTGATGTCGATCACTGGATTGTCTTCAGATTCATATGGCTTGAATGTTGCCAAGTGATTCATTCATTCATTCATTCATTCATTCATTCATTCATTCATTCATTCATGTTTTTTCAGATTGAGGAGGCACTGGTGATGCGGAAGAAGATGGAGTTGTTGAAGAAGTACGCGAGTGAAAGTCTCCTGGAGGAGGAGGAGGGTGTGCGGAAGATGCTGGGTGTCTGATGGGACGGGCAGGTGTGTCACCAATCACCGCAGGCCCTTGGTGTTCTCTCTGGAAACCATTTCCACAACAGTGAAAGTGAACAAGAACTTGTATTACACATGTATTACTGTCAGACAACAAAGGTTGCTCAGGTTACCATGTTCAGGATGTGAACCAAGAAACAATCGCAAACCATCAAGAACATCTCTGCATTTAAACGTGTGAATGTTAACCACCAGTTCGGTCATGTACAGAGTGTACAGACAAATGGTAATAGCCTCCCTTGCAGAGGGCTGGAGCCTGATTCTCCACTAGAGCGTTATCTATAACCAGCAGGGTGTGTGCACCTTGTAGGAGCTGATTGGTCTTGTACACCACCAAAGGCTTATTTGAATTAATCATGTTCATTTTCATTAACCTGTGTAGAGGCAGGTGATCTGATTCGATTTCTTGGTTGCTGCATGTCATAATATCAGTGCTCATGATGTCAATCACTGGATTGTGTGCTCCAGACATGATTGTTTGCAGGCCACTGTCATATAGCTGGAATATTACTGACTTTGCTGCCACTCGAAGTATGACTAAAGTCATCTGTGATGTTACCATGGTTTTACAAGCATGTGACATCACGTGAAACATGGTAACCTTGTGATGTTTGTACAATCCATCTGATCTTTCTAGTTCTTTAGACAGGCCAGTCAGATAGCTTTGCGTGGTTATGAGTAATGACAACCTGTCTTATAAAGTCTCACTCATTGAATATAGCTGTACAACTGTAGTGTAAAAATGGGAACATGATCATTTTGATTTTGGGAATTGTGGGTTCTAAATTGGTCAGATTATCTTTGATACTTCCGCCCCTGTCAGATGGGGAAGCTGGGTCCCTGAGCCCAAAGTGACCTCAGCGCTAACACTGTCATAAGTCTTTGTCAATGTGTGGGATTTAGGATCATCTTGGTAATAAGGCCGCTTTGAGTGATGGGTCCATGGTGATTAAATTGCTTTCACATCAGATGGTGTCCCAGTCATATTGCTGGAATAGTGCTAAAACTGATGTAAAACACCTACCTCACCCAATACCAAACCTGTTTGAGGACTTCACCAAAGTGGTAAATGTCGGTGACCTGCCCCACTTTGGGCTTTCACCTTGTTTAGAAATTTCTACACACTGTCAGAGACCATTGCATCAAAGTTGAAGGAACCTAACTAAAGTTGGTAGTATTTATTATTATTATTATTATTATTGATATTATTATTGATGATATTATTGATGATGATGATATTATTATTATTGATGATGACATTGTTATTATTGTGTGTGTGTTATTATTATTGGTATTATTATTATTATTATTATTATTATTATTATTATTATTATTGTGTGTGTGTTATTATTATTGATGATGATAATGATATTATTATTGTGTGTGTGTGTATTATTATTGATATTGTGTGTTATTGATATTATTATTATTATTATTATTATTATTATTATTGTGTGTATTATTGATATTATTATTATTATTGTGTGTGTATTATTATTATTGTGTGTGTGTAATGTTATTATTATTATTATTATTAATATTATTATTGTGTATTATTGTGTGTGTGTGTGTGTGTATGTGTGTGTGTGTGTGTGTGTGTGTGTGTGTGTGTGTGTGTGTGTGTGTGTGTGTGTGTGTGTGTGTGTGTGTGTGTGTGTGTGTGTGTGTGTGTGTGTGCTTTGAGTTGTGTGTTTGTTTGTGTGTGTGTTTCAGTTGTGTGTTTCAGTTCTTGAACAGCAACAAAAAATAATGCACACAAGGAACACAGGACCCAGCTTTAACTTTGAGACAGACTAAGTTCCACACTTGTGTCTGTACATATTGTAGCAGGCCCAGTTATTTTTATTGTTTATTATTATTATACATTTATATTCTGTAATTATCCTTCCACTAGTGTCTGCTGAAATGCAGTTTATTTGTTAAAAGGAAAAATGACTTAGCATTATAATTGTCAGAAGCCATTGTTGAAGTATGGAATTACGATCATCTTACTGCTAATAATGCTTTTGTGGAAGTGCATCCTGCTCTTTAACATTGATATTGGTTAATATGGACAAATTTAAAATTAGTGATATCGCTCAGGTTAACTGGTTTGACTGGACATAGGTGGTTTCTAATTTGTCGAAACATTACTTGTTTGTGAGAGGACATTGCCAAGTCAAACTCTCTGATGTGTCCATTGTTTTGTATGTCCATTCATTTTGTATGAGTGTATATATGAGGTACCATTCTCATTGTGTAAATATGTCAGTTGCCATGGTTATGGTTACATACTTAATGTTTTGATATTCCAGGGGTGATCCATGGCATCATTGTATATATCATGACACATTGTATATATTCTCAAAATTTGTTTAGTCATGACTATTTTACAAAAATATATTAAAGACATCAGCTAAAAATTGTTATATTATTTGTTGTGTGGTTCAAGTTGGAGTATGTGAAGCCCATTCCTGGTGTCCCGTGCCGTGATATTGCTGGAATATTGCTAAAAGCGCGTAAAACCATAAAACCATACTCACTCACTCACTCACCTCCACTCCTCCTCACTCACTCACTCCACTCTGGTCAGTCACTCACTCAGCCACTCCACCCATCCACCACCTCTGTGGTGTAGTGCTAGGTTCGATCCCCGAGAGCGACCATACCAAAAAGACGTTAAAATATGGTACTTGTTGGTCCCTGCCTGGCTCGGCATTAATGGGTACAACAAGGACTGGTCGGCTCGGAGTCCATATAATGTGTCTGAGTGGGGTATTCATGCTTCACTGTGGCATGGTATCTCAGTGAGCTAGCACTATAAAACCAGCTTAAGTCTGGGCTAGTACAAGCAGCCACACATACACATACACACGCATGCATGCACGTCGTCATATGAGCGAAATATTTTCAAGCATGACGTTAAACCCAATTCCACCACCACTCACTCACTCACTCACTCACTCACTCACTGGAGTATGATACCATAAGAGTGAGTGATTTTTAGTTTTATGCTGCTTTTAGCTATAATCCATCAATGTCACTGCATGGACACAAGAAATGGGACTCACGCAGTGTACCCATGTGGGGAATTGAACCCGGGTTTTTATGTGACAAGCACACTTGTGCAAGTGTTTTATGAAGGCCATATTGGGTGCCCACTTTTGTGTGAAGGTTATTGATGGAGTCCATTGTTGGCTAAAGGCCTTTATGATATCATCTGTTGATAGGCAATATGTGGAATTGACTGTTGTGTGAAGGCCATGTGTTGAGTCCACTGTCCTGTGAAGGCTTTAGGTGGAATTGGAATCGACTGTTGTGTGAAGGCCATGTGTTGAGTCCACTGTCCTGTGAAGGCTATAGGTGGAATCGACTGTTGTGTGAAGGCCATGTGTTGAGTCCACTGTCCTGTGAAGGCTATAGGTGGAATCGACTGTTGTGTGAAGGCCATGTGTTGAGTCCACTGTCCTGTGAAGGCTATAGGTGGAATCGACTGTTGTCCATGAAGGCTATAGGTGGAATCGACTGTTGTATGAAGGCCATGTGTTGAGTCCACTGTCCTGTGAAGGCTATAGGTGGAATCGACTGTTGTGTGTGTTGAGGCGTCCTGTGCTATAGGTGGAGTCCACTGTCCTGTGAAGGCTATAGGTGGAATCGACTGTTGTGTGAAGGCCATGTGTTGAGTCCACTGTCCTGTGAAGGCTATAGGTGGAATTGACTGTTGTGTGAAGGCCATGTGTTGAGTCCACTGTCCTGTGAAGGCTATAGGTGGAATCGACTGTTGTGTGAAGGCCATGTGTTGAGTCCACTGTCCTGTGAAGGCTATAGGTGGAATCGACTGTTGTGTGAAGGCCATGTGTGTTGAGTCCACTGTCCTGTGAAGGCTATAGGTGGAATTGATTGCTGTTGTGTGAAGGCCATGTGTTGAGTCCACTGTCCTGTGAAGGCTATAGGTGGAATCGACTGTTGTGTGAAGGCCATGTGTTGAGTCCACTGTCCTGTGAAGGCTATAGGTGGAATCGACTGTTGTGTGAAGGCCATGTGTTGAGTCCACTGTCCTGTGAAGGCTATAGGTGGAATCGACTGTTGTGTGAAGGCCATGTGTTGAGTCCACTGTCCTGTGAAGGCTATAGGTGGAATCGACTGTTGTGTGAAGGCCATGTGCTGAGTCCACTGTCCTGTGAAGGCTATAGGTGGAATCGACTGTTGTGTGAAGGCCATGTGTTGAGTCCACTGTCCTGTGAAGGCTATAGGTGGAATTGACTGTTGTGTGAAGGCCATGTGTTGAGTCCACTGTCCTGTGAAGGCTATAGGTGGAATCGACTGTTGTGTGAAGGCCATGTGTTGAGTCCACTGTCCTGTGAAGGCTATAGGTGGAATCGACTGTTGTGTGAAGGCCATGTGTTGAGTCCACTGTCCTGTGAAGGCTATAGGTGGAATCGACTGTTGTGTGAAGGCCATGTGTTGAGTCCACTGTCCTGTGAAGGCTATAGGTGGAATCGACTGTTGTGTGAAGGCCATGTGTTGAGTCCACTGTCCTGTGAAGGCTATAGGTGGAATCGACTGTTGTGTGAAGGCCATGTGTTGAGTCCACTGTCCTGTGAAGGCTATAGGTGGAATCGACTGTTGTGTGAAGGCCATATATGTTGTCAACTGTTGTATTAATTTTCTTTTCAACTTTTGTATGAAGGCCATATGTGGTGTATTGTCATGCCTTGCTCTTAATACCGACCACCTTTCTGATTCAGGCACATTAATCCTCCTGACCTGTTGTATTGTAGGGAAAGGACAATTCAGATGCAGATTACGCCAGATATTCATGTACTATAATTGCTTCAATTCAGGGGCAGCAATTGTGGATAAAGAGAGGACAACTGGTATGAGTGAGTGAGTGAACTTGGTTTCATAGTATTCTAGTTATATCGGGGGCAGTGGGGTAGCCCAGTGGTTAAAGTGATCACTTGTCATGCCAAGACCAGGGTTTGATTCCCCACATGGGTACAATGTGTGAAGCCTATTTCTGGTGTCCCCCCGCCATGATATTGCTGGAATGTTGTTAAAAGTGGCGAAAACTAAACTCACTCACTCACACAGCGGAGAAATGGATAGACAACTTCTTCATTGCAATACATGCAATGTTTTGGTGCAGATCCTAACACCGTTCTCATTATCAGTCTATGCCAAAACGTTGCATCTATTGTAGTAAAGAAGTTGTCGATCCATAAAAGTGTTCCTCTACATCATACCAGCTTCTAAATGCCACTTAAGGAGGATATATCACAGCATGTGAGGTTAATTTGGTAGGAAGGGATGCCAGCATGAGATGTTTACCACTAAAAAAAGTCTTGGTGAAACTCAAGAGTGCAGGTAAAGGGATAACAGTCCTGTATACAAAATAACATCCGAAGGCTTGTTTTTGTGATAATTAAACCAGGATACATTTTAAAATATATGTTTATGATATTTACATATTGCCGGTAATAAAATATGTATTATAATACATTTGATTTTTTCTAAGGATGTGGGTTCATATTTAAACAGCATGTAATAATTTTAATTTTAAACAGGGATATATCACAATTGTCAGTAGACATTCGATATCATTTATGTAAATAGAGTGTGTGTGTACGTCTGTGTGCATGTGTGTGCATGTGCACATGGGTGCGCATGTGTATGCATGTGTATGCGCAAAATGTGAAAAAATATTATATTCCATTTAAAAGTACATTTCCCCTACTGTTCAACTCTACGTGCTGGCTGGTGAAATCTCTGTGTTTAAGGAAGAAAGGTACAAAGATGTACTTATTTCCGACTAAGTACACTGAAGTTTGACAGGCCTTTGTCCTGGTTCTATTTATAAACTCCTGCTGTTATCTTGTGCCTATGTAATCATAGCTAGGTCAAGGCAGCAAGGTCAGTGACCTGTGGAGTAACATGCACTTAAAGGTCACCTATATTTTTGGTTTTGTCACAGGATGTTATGCTGTTCTATATAAACAAACATGTTTTCGATGCAAGGAGAGATAATCATATTATATAAGTACTTTATGTTAAGAGAATTATTGTTCTTGACTGAGTATGGAATTGGACAAAAATGAAGTTCATTGTCTATGAAAACATTTTCTTAATGATTGAATAATTTTTAAAGAATAATTCCTAATCATCTCTTGAATCAAGCAAACAAACCAAGATTAGTTTGATTTGGACTTGCTTAGGATTTGGGTAAACAAAGATATTTAATCATATAAGTGTGTTAGGGAACACTCGCGGTGAAATGGTCAGCTCTTCTTCTACACATAGAATATGTGATTTTAGCGATCCTAACTTGGTCTCGAGTAACTTAGACTTTGGATCTTAACTTTACGATTGACTTGGGTCAGATTGGTTAGTGGAACGGTATGCCGATCTTAACGTCACGCTACGATTCGGATTTTAGGGGTTTACGATTGGCGTAGGGCTAAGATCGGTTAGTGGAACGGCACCCTGGAATATTGAAAAAGTGGCGTAAAACTCACTCACTCACTCATGTTGGTGTCATATTGGTCAATTTCGGGAGTCTTGTCTTAATGGTATTAAGAGAAGCTTCAAATATGGATTGCATGGTAACAAGTGATGATTTGGTGTTAAAGTATTCTGGGGGCCTGACCATCCGATCCCATTAGTCGCCTCTTACGACAAACATGGGTTACTGAAGACTATTTCTAACCCAATTCACAGGCCTGTATATGTATTTTGTCTGTGATATGTAAATAATAACTTCAGTCTCCTCAGTGTAATTCACATCTTGGTGTTCCATTCTCTTGGAAGCATATTTATTATTGCTCATGTTTTCAACCACTGGTTACCCTGGTCCAGATATGAACACAGACTACAGGCGGTAGTGTAAATCTACAATTACCCTCAATCTTTACATCATTGTAACATGCTGTTATAAATATCTTATGAGGGACGGTGGGGTAGTCTAGTGGTTAAAGCGTTCGCTTGTCATACCTAAGGCCCTAGTTCAGTTCCAAACATGGGTACAATGTGAAGCCAATTTCTGGTGTCCCCCACTGTGATATTGCTGGAATATTGCTAAAAGCAGTATAAAACCATACTCACTCACTCACTCACATATCTCATGTTAGAACAAATTCCAGTCAAAACAGGACGTTTTAAATGAGTAATGTCATGTTCCTGCAGTCTTTAAAAGGACATGAATTTGTGTGAATTAGACACTGTATTCTGAATTAGTTCAGGAAATACTTTATCGATCCTGAACAACTGGCTTAATCAAAGTTCAATCTTTATGGAAATCTTAGATAACAAAATCAGCGAACAAACTGGGCAAACATATACAGAATATTTTTATTAACCTACAAAATGAAATATATGTAGATCTCGGTGAAACTGGAAATTGTAATTTCAGAGGTCAT